GTTAAATATCTTCCCACCATCGTGACTTAGAGTTTTCAAATAAACATCTCTGTTTCATATAAAATAATTCACGATGTCGGTAGTTCTTCATTGTTAAAGCTGGTTTTACTGTGTTTATCAAAAATTAAAAACTCTTGCATAAGGTTTATACGAAATGAAGAAATTGTAGTTTTACATTTCATCTCTTTTTATAAGAGAGAGTAATTTTCCATTTCTTTTTTGCGAATACGATGTTTTTTAATGAAAATTTTCAAAACTGACATGAAAATTTTCAAATGGGTTCCAATGTTTACCTTAGCTGATATCAAAATGGATAATTGATGGCGGAAAACGAAAATAAAAGAACAGACATATGCGTAGATCTGGATCCCTGGAAATGAATTTGAAAAAAATAAATTCAAGGGAAAACTCTTTTTTTTCAGCACCAGTCTCTTTTCCATCGTGTTACCCCAAAATGCGTCATCCTCGTAAGGGATAGATTGTCGATAAAACACTTTGTTGTAGAGCTACAATGTGGAAAAAAAAAATTAAAAATTTTTTTTTGCGGAAGTAACCAATATTTGTTTGGCTGGGGCTTAATTAACTTTAAAAAGTTGTAAAAAACGTTTAAGAAAGAACTTTTTGACATACATGGTTAGATCTTTCTAATGGTACAGCGTTGAAAAGGCATTTCTTTGCGAAAGGCTCTCTTCCTCTTGAACTAACCATCAAACCTTTCAGGAATCGAAAAAACTATTGTATTCATGCAGGATATCAAAACGCTAGGCTATTAGAAGGCCTTGATAGCTTTCACCCAGCCGTAGACCTCTCAGGTTTGCCAAAAGAGATGACTAATCGCATCATGGTTTAGCATAGTCCATTTCCTAAATAGCGGAAAACCAAATACACTAAGCGAAAATGCAATGTTAAGCTATTGAACAGCCAAGTAATTGTTTTAACTTTTTCGTAAATGACGCGTAGGAGCCAATTTATATGTCGTCGGTCAGACTGAGAAGCGATAGTATTCTGCGTGCATGGCTCGAAGCAAACGTTAAGCCTCGTGTTTGGTATCCTCTAAATATATATATACACCCGTTTTCAAAAACGTTGCAACATTGAAAGTACATATAAAATATATGTACATCTTTCGTTTTCTTGTCAAAAAGTGTCTCTTTTTGATGAGATAAGAAAAGGTCTATATATTTAACGTTTTTGAAAACGGGTGTATATATGTATATATATATATTTTTTATTTTTATTTTTATTTTTTTGCAGCAGACAGAGGAAAAAAACGTTAGCTGCAATAAATGTTGGTTATGTGGAAATGGAGTATTTTTTGACGTTTTTAATAAGCAATTTTAATTGAAGTTCTTTTTTGTGTTAAACTTTATGTAAGGAGATTAGAGGATGGCCTACAGGTGGCACCCAAATGTCAGCAAGGGCGCTTACGCCGTTCAGCATTTAACATTTCGTTTCTTAGTTATTGACTAAAATTACTTTTAAGATCGAGTGAGACTGAACTTATGTTTGCTCATATCGACTAAAGTGCCATTAAATTAATTTTTCACAAGATACTCGTTCAGTTAAAAACGCCCAATTTCACTTTCTTCCTTTGCAGATGACCAGCTTACCTTGGCTCCAGGAGAAACGCTTGAAATCAACACTACAGAGCCTTCCGCTATTGTGGTAGACAGCCAAGGGAACAAAAAAATCTTAAAAATAACTACCAAAAAAACCTTCTCTTTTAAAGGGAATTTTGTCAATTCACCTGGATGGAATTACAGCGTTGCCCGAATAGTGTTTTCCAAAAACATCAGAATAGAAGCCTGCTCTACTGTTAAGGTGTTTGGGGAACATTCACTGTCTATCGAGTCTCTGGAAGGAGATATAGTTATTGGAAGTTTTATCGATTTATCTTGCACAGTGACTGTGCTGGGTGGGAAGTGTGTTGGAGGATATATGCCCATTGATAAACCTAGAAATTGGTCATCAGCTATAATACCAGGTAGGCTTATAAAGTCTGTTGACTTACACACCAGCCAGCACTTTCCCTTCAGTTGCGGAAAACCAAAACCAAAGTATGGATTGTGGGTTTTGGAAAATCAGAGCAACTTGCATATGATCAGTTAGCAGGGTTAAATACGTACGGTAGATTTTTGGATCAATCACAGAACCTATAGCAATGGGTGAAAACTGCAATTCAGATTGCTTTGGAAGCCAAATTCTTTAGTTCTCTTATAATCTGAAAATCTTTGCTTACCGCATTTTCTTTCCTTTCTATATACCCAGCTAACATATGTAGGAGTATCTTTTAGTACGTGATTATTCACACTTGAAGTGATTTTTGAAACAGTTAATTGTTCTTCTGTCCCAGAAGAATAAGTATGTCACTGTGTTCATGCGGAAAGGTTAGTCCTAGAAAGGTGCGTGGTTTCATGACTATGACTAACGTTTTGAAAACCGTGTGAAAGTCATCATTAGAATTAAACGGTGTGTGAGAGCTTGTGGTACAAAGTATGAAGTATAATTGATCGAAGTTAATCCGTTTCATTTGCCCCTCTGGGTTAAAGGAAATGGACCAGGGAGTACGAGCAGAGAATTATTAACTTACCAGTCACCACGATGCATCGGTGGAAGTGGACATGGTGGCCATGGAGGAAATCCAGTGTTTGATGACATTCACGTTAACCTCTACAGTGGCTTAGAGTATGGAAGGAATGATTACCAAGTCCTATTGGGAGGCAGTTCAGGTAAATGTGGAACTTAAGCTCGTAAATTTCAAGAAATCTGTGTATTTCGTATGAAACAGTGAAACTCTTTAAAGAACGACGATTCTTATTTAACATTTAGAAAAATCAATTAAAAAAGGTTGATCTTATTGATTCGACAAGCGGTTTCTGTCCAATTTTAATCTCATGGTTAGAACGTTAAATTCGCTGCCGTAAGGTTGGAACACAGCGGCTAAACCTTCTATCAAAGAAGGAGAAGAAACTAACGACGAAAAGAAAAGATAGTCTGTAATTATTAAGTACAGGTAAGGTAGTTTGGTTGCGATTAATTATTCTTTGTTACAGGCTCTTATCTTGATTCTTCTGCTCACACAATTACTAAACCTGGACATGGAGGGGGAGCACTACAGTTGATAGCGAAGCAGGGTTCTATAAAAATCGGTACGTAATACTTGCGAAAAAGTTAAGCTGATTCCATTTTGGTTCTTAACAAAGACTCCAGTCTGTTTACCACGATGTGGGCTCTGGAAACCGATTTATCTCAAGGAGTAGGTCACAGCTTCAACGACTATCTTTGGAATAAGCTTGTACTAAATTTTACATTGGAGAGCCCAATTAAGCCAGTTATATGCGCTAAAACCCCCGTCTGCCAACAATTCGTCTTCTCTGACATAAACTTTTCCTTTAAATCTGGAGAAAACAGGCAAAGAAGACCAAAGAAATTCATGCGACTAACAAATATTCGAGTGTATTCTAAATTGATAGAAACCCCGCTGGGGAAATTTTAAAGTCTTTAGCAATTCACCTTTCACAGAAGAAAAGATTAAAGCCAATGCACAGCAAACAAAAGGGCACTACGAAGTTAACAGTGGAAGTTCAGGAGGACTAATCCGCTTAGAGGCTAACGAGGTACGATTAGTTTTCGCCCCCCTGTCACTCCTTCTTCATAGCATGCCTTACGTGATAAAAACCGCTAAACATAAATCTTTATCAAATCAGGTTCACATCATTGATGGTGGTTCATTGGAGGTAAATGGTGCTCATGCGGGAAAAAATGGTAACATTTACCCAGTTTGGGAAAAGGGGTCTGCCGGAGGTGGAGGAGGCATTGTGGATATCTTGGCCAACAAGGTTTTCATATCAACTGGTTCTATATTACTTATGCCAGGGAATTCCACAGGTTGCTCCAACCAAACAACAGCATCTCCAGGATTCTTGACCATACGAGGTATGTTGAAATCGATTATTGAGGTCATCAATTGTACAGAATCTTTACTTAGCTTAAAATTGTGACGTACCTGAATGTCTTCAAATCCCTTTTTTAAAAACAAAATTTACGACTTTTACATTCTCCTGGAAGCACAGACGATGATCAATCCTTTCTTAATCGTCGATGTTTATTTGCGGATGCCTTTCTATCATACACAATTGATTTATATATGCGGAATTTTTTCCTCGGCAGATTACTCGTGCAATCTCAGAATATCGTGGAAAAATATCCCAGTCTTTCCTGTTGATCCTGCAGGATTCACTTGGACGAACACAACTACCCAAACACTTTTGCCTTCATCCTCGATACCCTGTTCCAATTATGTTCCTAGAAAAACCCGGCCTTCGGTCAAAATAACCACAACTGACAATCCTATTATTGCTACCTCTTCCCTCCTTGCGAGAAGAGAGTCATCAATAACTGCCTCTATCAAAAACATATCTAAACGGCAAAGTGGAATGCGCACTTCGTCTCCAGGTGTTAGGACATCTTTTTCTCGTAACGGTATTTCTTCTACCAAACGTATTCAGTGCTCAACAAACTTCAAACCACTTACTGCAACCCTGTCAACTGGTGAGTATTTGGATCCTTTTAAGGTTCATGCTCGGTAATCTCTTAGAGATAATTATGGGAGATTTGGCGACAATGTCAACCGTGTAATGAGTGGACACATTATTTGTTTGTCTGTCGCAGATGCAGTCCCTGCACCCTCCGTTCCTCTCGCTGATATCACAGTGACAAGAAAATGGGAAGCCCTGCTCAAGAGTACGGAATCCCTAGCGGTAATGTAAAATATAATGACCTTAGCTAACTGTGTAACCGCAACTGTTTCGATGCTTAGGTTGGCAGTTATTCCAAAAAATGAGTCCAACAAAACAACATTTCAGCAAGTGCGACCCACACGAGAAGATTTGTAAAAAGCTCACGAAACTAAACATGCTACAGGGCTATTTTGATGCTGCGTTACCAGTATTCTGCACACCGAAACTTACGGGGCTATACTCTTCCCCTTCGAAATTTCGTAAGGGAAGGACCACAGCTCCCTGTCGCCCCTTGTTCTTCCGCCGACTACAAAGTTGTGGAAACCAAATGGTTTTTAGATAATTACAATTTTGCACCGAATAGCTCCCAAAGACCTTTGTTTTAATGAAAAATCCTTATAATCCAGTCAAATAAATGATGTGCTCATTGTAAATATGGTTTGCTGGAAAGCAGTAGTATCGAAGTTTACGCGTCATAAGTCAAGTTTGTTTAGATCAATATTGCATCCCATCTTTGATAATCAACTTAAAGTAAGTTACACTTGAAATGTAGGTCTTTCCGTGGGTAATGAATGAACTTAGAATTTGTAACAGTTATTTCAATCCCACATTTGCAGATATCCATGGGAAGCTTTCAAAACAACTCGTGGGTTGAGGATGTTCACAATCTGCTCCAACGCCTTCGAACATTAGTGGAAGAGGAGCCGTTAACGGAGCAATATGTTGACGTATTCATAAAAATACTTGAACAGTTTGGTTTAGCTCTTTCCATGATCCCAAGCGAAGATCAAGAGATTATGAAAGTATGTTAACAGCCTCTTTTATAATGACTTAGGTTATTTCTCTTAACACAAAGAATATGTTACTAGTCCTCTGAAGCATATCTTTTGACTAATTTGCAACAGCTGGCAGGCAATGGCTTTTTGATTAAAATTTATATGTAAAATTTTCAACAAGATTTTTCCCGAAAAGATCTAAATAAAGCTTAAAGGAAACTTCCATTGTTAGAGAAAATTGTTATGTTGCTATTTCTTGATGGTAATTGTGGCAACTGTATAACGTCGTACGAGCCAAAATGGCGCCTTCCAAGAAACACAAGCATTGATACTGCAAGTATTTGTTCACAACTTACATATATTTCGGTTCTTATTTCCCAATTTTCCCAGAAATCTTCAAAGTACAAGAAATCTCCATCATACTTATGGTAGTTTGTTCTGCCATTGGAAGGTTTCCTTTCAGAAATACCCTGCCAATCGTAATTCTACGTAATTTGTAACTACCGATAAATTGTCAATTTATCTATTTAGAGCGTTGTTGCCTCGCTGATCACAACGGCAGAATCCAGCTTTGATGGGAGAAACGAAAACGTGTGGAGCGCTACAAAAAAGGTTTTGTAGGTTAAGTTGTTTAATCCCTCTTAGTTGTGCCTCTGCAAATACCGCGACTGTAATCGCTAGAGACGAACCTCCTGCGATCTGCCTATGATTCATGAACGTCGATTCTCTTAACAAAAGTGCAGTTTACGTCAAATTAAGTTCAGTTTTTAGAAAATTTGAGGCTTCAGAGATAACCGTGGCGGTGTAAGATTACACGAAATTCAATTGTGAAGTTAAAACCTTGAACTGCGCGAAAAACATTGCGCTTTGTTAACGAACCTTCATCAAACTGGGATGCTTCATTTAAATCATGACATGGGTCAACACGGAAGATGAGTTACACCTTGTTACCATAATGTTAACCCGCTTTTTTTCTGCTATTCTGTAGCTACCAAAAGTCTTGAGCGCATTGGAGAACATTACGTTAGCGTTAGGAAGAATCTCCTCGGTCAATGAACTCTTCAAATTCGAGTATTACTCCCAAAGGACTGGTAAGTAATTACGAAAATCAGTCAATCGTGGCCTCTAGAAATAACTATTTAAGAGTATCCCTTAGTTTGAGATTTGCTATCTTTAGCATTAATGAAATCAAATAAAACTGTGCCGTGCCTCTTGAAGAAATTAACATGTTTGTTTCAAAACAGAAGAAATTCGCCTTTCCACAACAGTCTGAGTCTGATACCTATAAAGTCCCACTTTAATTCACCACCGAAACGGCTCTTCCGCTGTCTTCGTCTAACTTTATCATGTCTTTTTCACTTCAGTTGTACAAGTTGTTGCTTTAAAAACCACAGCAAAACAGAGTGTAACACACTTTGTACTTCCTGACACCTCTAGAACAAACCTGTCCATTTGGAAAAACGAACACGATGTTGTTCTAATACCGTCATTTTACGATGGTAAGTTTCCGCGGTCTTTACTCTTAGTGACTTAAAATGCTGTAACTTTGTCACCTTAAAAACGTGTAGATATGCATTTTGCTTCCGTTGAAGTAGTGTAATCTTATTCTCTTCATTAAAAAAAGAACAACATACTTGCTTAGGTTATGAAAAAATACTTTCTTTCTAAATACACTGTAGGTGACGTCGTGGTGTTTACGATACTGTACAGAAATATTAGCAGTATTCATCCCACTACTTTTAAAGAACACCAAAAAGAAAGGTAGGTCGCTTAATCAACCTTTTCAAAAACGAAAGACCATAATCGGCTGATAAGTTAAGGTTAGGGGACTAAAGACTCATTGTGCTAAAGTTTTTGATAAATGACCCAAAATTTCCTTACCAGGTAAGTCCTTCAATATGATACATACTAAAACAACTTTTCTAGTTCAGAAAGTTCTTTCAGATTCTCAATGGAAACCCTTTCTCGACTTTCCACCATTTCTTAAGACAAAGTAATTTACCGAAAAAAAAACTAACGGCTGTCTGATAATGAATATATTTATCTTCATTACATCTTTACATGAAGAGCAGATTTAGCAAAAGCTGCTTATAGGGGGTTCCTGATGAATAAATAAGAAAAAAAGTTAACGCAACAAATCAAAAACATACTTGTCCCAAAAATTTGATACGACATGAGAAATGGCAGGTAGTCTGTGTTCTAAACTCGTTAAATTTAAGGCAGACTTTATCATTATTGGGAAGCACTTGCCTTTGAAATAATCTAAAGTAATTTATCTGTTTCAGGGAAAATAAAAGTCATCTCGTTTCTGACTTGCTTTCTTGTTCGGTATATTACAAGGGAACTTTAATTGCGAGTAAACCCTTTTCTCCCGTTGAACTGCAATTCCATATCCAGGTATGTCTGTCATCATTTTCAACACTAAACCTTTGCTTACAGTGACCAAAATTTGTGCTTGCGTTTTGTTTCACATGTCATTGAGTAAGTTTGATTACCAGGTAATAAACGTTAGGGATTGGTTAGAGTCGGAGAAGAACGTATGGTGGGTCGTTTATGTAGTTAACGAAAAACCCGTTTAGTTTAGATATTTTGTTATATGCTTATCCTGAAAAAAGGACAGTAACATTTTTGTTTTACCTTACCATCTGAAATAACATAGAATGGGAGAAGTCTTCACTCACCAATCTGTGTATTCTGGGATCATCGAAACAGGTAGGGATATGGATGCATGTTTAGCAGTACATAAGTAAGAAGATAGCAGCGGAATGCAAACGTTTTATCTCTTGACGGTGCAGAAAACTCCTGTTACTCGGATTTCCTCTCATCAAATATCAATGGGATGTGCTTTTTTTTTGACGCAGTGCGATCTACGCGAGCTCGGTGTACCAAACGGCTTTTACACGACAAACAATTTCTTTGCAGTGCTTGGTCTACAGAAGGTCTGAGGACCGTTCAAGTAAATGGCGCCCACGCAAGATGTCATACAACTCATTTCACAAGCTTTGCAATTCTTACCCAGTACACAGAAGTGCAGGTAACTTTGTCAAATATGATGGAATAGTGCTCGACCATTACTATCGAATATACAGCCTCGAGTGAGGTAGGTAACTGTTAGAAGATCTATAAAAGACCTTCATTGGCTATTTATTCAGTTTTAAACAAACGGAATATCACTTTCCGTAGTCCACCACAGGTCCTTCACTAGTTTCCCGCTCTCCATGCACAACATGGCGGTCTGTTTTAAGTGTCCTTGGCTGAACATAAGAAGCAAGACATCCACAATGGGCACCTCTGCTATATGGCACTAGTATATTTCCTTGAATAACCCGGACCGGCGGATTTCTTGGTGTCCAACGTATACTACACTGATGCTTATTATTAGTTTTAAAATTATCTATACTCAATGGAAATAAACCTGTAAAGCACGGTACAACATAAAGACAATTGAAATCGTGTAATAAAATAAAATAGTTTTCGAATGCGCAAAACCCCTAGTAGCATCTCAAATATTTCTTGTTACGATACAATTGATAGTCAAGGGCCACATACAGATTTTCCTTTCTTAAGCAAGCGGGGCGTTTTAAAAAATCATATTTATCACGTTTATTGAAAGCTACCTTTTTATTATAATGGTTTTGGACATAATCGAACAAGGAAACATTTCTAGATTTATTCTTTACATTAAAAAAAGGTTTTTTTTGATTGATACATTCGTCCTATCACATAATCTGTTCAACCATTTTTTCGCAGATTTCAGATGAGGATCAATTCGCGCTCGGAGTCATAACATATGTTGGTTGCGGAGTCTCCATTGCGTGTCTCTTTGTGACCTTACTGGTTTATCTTGCATTTGAGTGAGTACCTCATCGAATTGTCTTCTGTGAGAATAACAGTTGCCTAAATGCAAAAAAATGCAGCATCCATAGATTGTTTAACTTGTTTAACTTTATTTAACCTCTCCCCTTTTGAATCCAGAAGAACTGTCGACACTTACTCTGCATACCCAGGAGAGATGAAATGAGAGTGTTGATCATTTAATTAGCGATGAAATAGCGACATAATTCTGGATTGACATCAAGACATTTCTTTTGTTATCAAAGACCAAGTTTATATGTTGAGAAGGATTGTAAATTTGGAGTTTGGGCGTTTGAACGAGCATTCAGAAGGGTAATGCCTTCGGAAATAAAAACGGGAAAACTTGACGTTCGAATCCTTGTATCAGGCAACAGAATTAGTCAGATTCAACCAATTCGACACAAGCTAAATTGTACTTGTTAGCACCTTCTGACCAGACCTTTCATCATTCGGGTAGACTATGGTGTTTGTTTAAGACTCAATCTTAACTCTTTCTCTTTTAGAGCGCTTTCCACTGAAAGACATAAGATTCACATGAACTTAGCCTTGGCTCTTTTGCTGGCTCAGTCGCTGTTCTTGACTGGTGTAAACGCTGTAGGACACAAGGTACCACTAACATCAAGTTCAACATCAGATACCACAGAAATCTGCCATACAAGACAAAGCCTAGTAGATTGAATTGTATTTAGCATATGGTTGAGAAAAAATTCCCTGGCCTACTCAATTCCCCTTAAACGCTGTTTAATGTTTTCTTGACGAAGATACCTGATACACAAGATACACAAGGTACCACTAACATCAAGTTCAACATCAGATACCACAGAAATCTGCCATACAAGACAAAGCCTAGTAGATTGAATTGTATTTAGCATATGGTTGAGAAAAAATTCCCTGGCCTACTCAATTCCCCTTAAACGCTGTTTAATGTTTTCGTGACGAAGATACCTGATACACAAGATACACAAGGTACCACTAACATCAAGTTCAACATCAGATACCACAGAAATCTGCCATACAAGACAAAGCCTAGTAGATTGAATTGTATTTAGCATATGGTTGAGAAAAAATTCCCTGGCCTACTCAATTCCCCTTAAACGCTGTTTAATGTTTTCTTGACGAAGATACCTGAGGATTCATGTACACTTACGAAGCTTGAACCGTTTTTGATCTTGTAAGTCGTCTTAAACATGGATACCTGTCGAAGAAAAATCGTCCACCCACACTGGCATGGGATACTTTTAAGGATAACGCTCGGGTATAAAATTTAGGCAGTTTCACCGGGGTTGATTGTAGGTCAACAATACATTTGATGATTACTTTTAAAATTTTGAACTTTTTCACAGGAAAAACGCTGAAATTTTATCGATTATCTCCCTAGACTCTTTGCCGCGCACTAGCCGTCTGCCTGCATTACCTGTTTTCAGCAGCATTCACTTGGATGTGTGTAGAAGGTTTTCATCTGTATGTGATGATTCTCTCCGTGTTTCGTGCTGACAGCGTTAGAATGAAATACTACTACATGACTGGCTGGGGTAAGGAAAGGTTTTGGTCTGCTATATTGTTCCAAAATCCATAATTTATTCAATGAAACACCGGTTTTCATCCTCCCTCTGCTTGCTTTGCTAGCACTAGCCATGTAGAAAGGAACTAACTAAAATGACAAAGTGAACTGAATGTGTTTCAATGCATTCGGTAAAATAGTTTTATATAAAATAGTCAGTTGCAATTTAAACTGTTTCAAAAATCGATATGTGAAATCAAAATCAGCAAACCAAACTGATTCTACCATAGAAAGCATAGGATTCTTGAAGGAAAAAAAAAGTCCTAAACTAAAAGCTTGTTATTTCTCAGGTATTCCAGTTATCATTGTCGGAGTGGCTGCGTCAATTCACCCTGAAGGATACGGGACAATCAAGTCGTGAGTGTGTGAAGAATTTTTTAATAAAGATGTGATGGACATTAAGTTTTCAACATCTCAGGAACACGTTAGATGAGAATTGTTACCACAGCATGCATTATTTTGTTACTGTTTTTCAGATGCTGGTTGTCTATTGATGATCAATTTATTTGGGTTTTTCTGGCGCCAGTTGTTTTAGTGATTGTGGTGAGCTGGGATTCTTGTTTCTTAGCAATCAAAGGGGATCTTGAATTTAAAGGAAACAAATTATTTTATTTTACAGATTTTTATATAGTAACACGAAGGAACTTGCAGATCAAAGCTCTTTGAATTTTAAAATCTGCTACCTCGCACGGCAGCGAAAATAATTAAACCTCGAAAGAAAAATCTTTCTATTATTATTTTGTTAATATTAAAATGAACTTTTGGCCCACGAGACCTGTATTAAAACAAATGTATGCAAATAACAGCACTTTAAAACTATTTCACCAGAAAAGATACAACTTGAAAGGCGCAACCATTTGTCTCATCGTGAAACTTTTTTTTGACACTTGCGGTAATGGGGCCATGTTTCCCGAGAGTATATCTTCTGGCTATGCATAAATTTGAGTAAAAGATTACAGCCGCTCTGTTTCACTATCCCTAGTCCATGTATGAGTTGTTACAATGGTAAAAGAAAATAAATATGTGTTCAGGTTAATTTCTTGGTTCTTGTTGCGGTGATAAAAGTCGTCGCCAATTCCGCGTTACCATCAAGAAAAACCACAGACTTTGGAAGTGTCAAGTAAGTTTCATGGGCTAAAAGGTTTTAAATTACGGGACAAGGGGAGAATAACGAGAATTTTACCTCTTTGTTGTCACCTATTCGCCCTTGCTCTTTGTCTCTCTGTCTTCCCCCACTTTGTTCTCGCGCGAAGCCCTTAAGTTGTTACCATTCGATTAAGTAGTACGATCATCCAAGTGGACATAGTCATCAAGAGCACTGGTTAGGTAATAGTGATTGACGTTTCAACGACCCGAACCGACGCAGTCGTCTGATTCAAATGAGGAGTTGAAAGTCTGACTCGTCAGAACAAATTGTTATCCATTTACAAGACCTATGAACTGATCGATGTTCGTGTAGTTTCTGACACAAGGTTGGTTTTCTTCTTAGGGCTGGAGTCAAAAGCGCTGCTGTACTATTACCACTGCTTGGAGTATCCTGGGTGTTTGGGCTTCTAACTTTAAACAAAAAAACTATAGTTTTTCAGTACATATTTGCCTTTTCTTCCAGTTTTCAGGTAACGATTCATTTCATAGAAGTAGGTCATGGTTTTTGTCCTCAACTGGTTACAAAGAAAAAGCAACTGAAGCAATTTAATTCTTCCCTACACCCCAGCCCACATAGAAATTAATAGTAAATCGTGTCTTTGCAAAAGGTGTCATTCAACTGGCAAATCTACTAAAAGGACAGGCAGTTCATTCTCTTGCATCCAGATACAAACTTGCCTCTTGACACTGTATCCAAACATGAAAGCTCGCATGAATATTTGTGAAGGCATGTGGTGCCAATCGTTTCTCACAGAAATACTCAGTAGCAACGCAAGTTGCACGTGTTACAGTAGTAACATTATTTCTTGACACCTAATACCATACGTCTAAAAAAATCTTTAAAGGGACAACCTTTAAAATGGGTCTCATGTAAGGGATGTAGTCTTTTTTTTTCAGATACAGTAAAAAAATTTTTCAAAAATTCTTCATGTGCATCATATCCAAGCTGATTAAATAAGCCTGTTGTCAGTAGGAACGGCTGTCACCGAAAATTAAACCTCGCTTTTGCTTTATCAGGGCATGTTCATCTTCTTGGCTCATTGTGTGGGAAGCAGCGATGTAAGAGAGTTATCATTTTGTTTAATAAGTGTCTTTTTGCTTCTTTTGTTAAGCGAAATGAAAATATTAACAATACAAGAACAATAAAGGTAATAATATAAAAAGATAGATTTTTTGCCTGTTAGGTTCGCTCTGCGCTTAAACGGATGAGGCAAAGACAAATGTGGGCTCGTGGGTCAGAGAATGCTCCGTCACACATTCCTTCCGTAAGTCAAATGTAATGGATATCAATATGCACCAAGCAAGAAGAATAAAGTATCCTGGATTTGAAATGCCAGAGAAGTGAAGACATGAAAGAAATCTCTTAGAGCAATATTTCAGTGCTTACAATACCTGAAAAAGAAGAGAGCGAAAATATCCCGAGGAAAAATTGCAATCACACGAGAACCCCGAACAAATGTGTAGCGGTCGGTGGCAAAAGCGTGGCAACCGTTACAAAATGTATTATCAGAGAAAAAATTGTTTGCAACAAAACAAACAAGTTGTTATTGACGCTAGAGACCAGTTCGTTAGTTTGTATCCACAGCACTAGAAGTAATAACTCCAACCTAGAGCGACTTTCGCCATCAGCAACCCTTCATCGTACCTTTTAGTCGTTCACCCCTCTCTCCCCTAGAAATATTCCTAGTTTTACAGTCTTCAGTATCCTTGCATTGACTAAAAAAAACGTCATAAAATCTAATATGAACTATTTACATTTGCCACATGTATTTAAAATATAGTTGACATCATCATCATGATTGGCCTTTTCTTTGTTTTTTAGAAAGGAAACGTTCCTGTCTCACAAGGAATTATCTCAAAGGGAGGCGTTTTAGAGCATAAGGGTACGTTGTTTTGTGGAGTGAACTCGCTGAAAGAGACTCAGCGATAACCCATACAAAAACAATACAGCACTTTCAAAAAAAAAAAAGAAATTGGTTTAACGTTTCGTAGAAACGAACGCCGTGAATAAAGTACAGATAAATTAAAAGCTCTAATGGGTAACTTCAAACTTTAACAAAGAATTTATTCAAAACCATACATTAAGATGACATTTACATAAGGAACCTGTCTTTGAGGGTACCAAGCAAGCCGAAATTTCAGAGTGACTCTACGTAATACCTTTTCATGCCCTTTCTTGCAGAAAAGATACGAGCGTCTGTATTCAGCCAAACTAACAGCAAAGTGGTTAAAGTAAAGGTATTTGCATCCGTATTAACATCCCACTTTCCGGTTAAATTATCGGAGATTGGTACTGCTTTACGAGTTTCCACGGTAAAACTAAATTGTGTTATTCTTCATGAGCCTGTAAGGGAAAGAGTATTTGAGAAAAGTTGCCCTTTATTACGGAATTCCCGTGTGATCGACAATTCACCACCAGAACGTCCACGATGTCATGGGTTTAGTACAGGAGAAGCATGAATTCAGTATACGTATACCTCACCTGATGCAATGGATTAGCAACCAGTGAATAACCAGTCCTTCCCTTAAACCAGATTCTACTTTTAAAAAAATCACCCGGGGTAAAAATAACAAAAGCGTGATCACCTGTGTGATGTGATTGAATCGTTTGTTCTCTAACCTTTTTTTTTCGTTCCTAGCTACCGAAAGAAAACTTTAAAGAGGCTCCTCTACAAATAAACAGAACTTATCAGATGCCACGAAGAGAAAATCCTGAATCTAAAAATTGTTCAAAAATGACATCTCTTAACTGCCCGCAGGTAGAGTTAATAAAAATCAGGAAAATAGGTATAAGAGGCAATCAACCAAACTGATCTTGAGTCTTGTTCGTGACTCTTTCCAACCTTATTTCAACAAAGCAACCAACAAACTGACAGTGAATGATGCAGCACTAATTTGATACTGATTTGATCTTCACCTCTAATTCTTAGCTTTCCGAATTGTCTCCGTTCACAGGATGCAGTTTCACCCAGAGAATCTACCAAACGAAGATGCTCATTCAAGTCATCCTAATCAGCAAAATATCAGATTTGCCAAAGGGCACCTGATATTTGGCGCCAGCTGTCAAACAAAACTGGCTTGGAAACATTCCAATTAAAAAAGTAGTTATCTGCAAGATAGCACTAGTTCCTCAGACGACAAATTTGCAATTGGAGTACAATCGTGGTTATGGTTATTGGCTAACTTTCTCAAATTGTTTAACATTAAGTAAATAAACTTAAATTATTTTCTACCTTTCCTTTCTGTCTTTGTTAAACATAATCAAGTCACTGACTTTATTGACGAAAATAACATTCTCACCTACCTTGTATATAGTAAAGTGAGGGGCAATAACAACAAAAGTGTTGAGGCTAGATATTCTTATGTGCCTGTTAAGACGCGTGTATGAGGGTCTATAAGGTGAGAACCACCTTAGCTCCAGTCACGACTATAGGACAACCCCTCATATCATTAACGAAAAGTGACCAAAGGGAAGAAACATTGATATAAAGCACAGTGTTTTCATGCCCTTTTCTGTCTCTTGTTGATTGATTTTCATCACTCTTTCTGACTTTCTCTTTCCTTTCTGCTGATCAAAATTCAAACATGAAGAGTGTAGTAATCTCATTATATTTCCAGGACACAAGGGTGAGAATGTCTGTTCTTTTTGTGGTCAGAGATATAGGCGTGACAGAGACCACAATTAAAACACTCGCATCTCACTTTTTTTACCCTCTTGAAACTAAAAAAATATGAAGCAGTCTCTTTATCTAAAAGGTATTCTCTCGCTATCTAAATTATCTATTTTCACTGCGAAATATTCAACCTTGATATTCTTCCACCGATGCCTATTCAAATGGTCTTTCATTACAGATCTCACGAAATCTTGATTGGATAAATCATTTTAATATTCTCACTAAAGCCTACATTAAGTGGCGATCTCTGTAAGAGCGGTCCAGAGCATTTCGCGTCGGAAAGAAGTTTTGCCTCAAACTTTGCCCATTCAACTATATTTGGTAGTAAGTAAATAAAACCTCATTAGTTTCTGGAAATACGTTAAAAAACGTTTTGAGAGCTCTCAATAATTAAAGCTGCAAAAGGCCCTTTTTTGACCTCTTGCGACATCGAAAACTTCAAAAGTTGACAAGCTCACTCCTTGTAACACACTGCATACAACAAGAAATCTTTTGTATTCCTAAATTGTTTGATATCTGAGGGATTTGGAAAGCGTTTCAATTTTAATATGTGTTTATTCAGAGGTTCGCCGTAATTGATTTAAAAACACCTGTCAGACAGCAATGCTGTCAATGCGCGCATTGAAAACTTGCACTGCATCTTGGACCTTTCCTTTCGCTGATCTGCAGTCCTGTATTCTCTACTAGTTTAAAGGGCAAAGTTTGAGGCAAAACTTCTTTCAGAAGCGAAATACCCTGGACCGTTTTTACAGAGATCGCCACTTAAATATCAGAGATGCACAAGAGGAGTTTCAGAGTTAGTTGATTGTTTGAAGAAAACATGGTCCAAGTATGGATGCCAAGCGCCAACGTTTTCCATGGTATTTCCTCTTTTCCTTTCCGCAATCCCTCATTATCATTGACGCAAATGTCCCTTTAAGATGGCTGCACTTAGATGCTACAGTGGAAAACTATTTTGTGATCTTTGCCGACGAATGCATGAATTAGGAAGATTCTTTTTCACTCGGAAGGTAATGAAAGCACTTCATTAGAGGTGAAAATGGAAAACGAAAAATGGGATCAATATCAGTATCTGGGCAACTGCCCACCTACCCTTCCCCTAACCTGACAACAGTCTATTGATAACAAGTTAGGATTAATGTTGGGTTAGGGGAGGGGTAGGTGGGCAGTTTCCCAGATACTGATATTGATCCGAAAAATGTTTGGTGCTTGGTAAACACAGATTCAGTTTAATCATGGCTAGCCTTTTTGATGTTCATTGACATATGAATGTTAATTCATGAAAAGTCTTATAAAAACATCACGCACATTTTGGACGATGTCTACAGACATGATGTTGAAACATCCACCATATGATTGCAATTATATTTCATGAAAAGCAAAGAAAAAAATTGAGAAATCCTCGATCAAGAGTTTGGAAGCTCGCCGTTGTTAAAATAATATCACAAGCTTAAAATATAGAAAAGTGATTGTCAATACAGGAGTGTGAGCGAGTGCCTCCTCGAAAGTTTCAATTGGTTATTTCTAATTGCATGTTTATTCAGTCTGAAATATTTGAATGTTCTCTGCATCATTTTAATATTCATCAAGGGGCTCTTGAAAAGCTGAACACAAAGGACATTGGTGATTGCAGACAAGAATCATTTGTGTTTTATTCATGATAAATCATCATAATAACCTTTAGCGAACGTCTTGGTTATCTCAAAGCACATGGTACTGAAGAAAACGACACTAATGCCAACACTTGTAAAATTTTATTTGTCATCGCAAGAAAGGTAAGTCTTGGTTTTGTCATCCTTTGGCGATTTCGTTTGTTTATAGTTCAGCCCCCGCTGCTTGAAAACCACATTACGTCGTACTATGTCGAAAGATTTTACGATGTTAGAATATAGGTAAAAATAATTAATGCTACAATGTCACTTCGAACCAATGTGTGCCTTAAAGTTAAATTAAACCTTGGAGTGACGGTTTTTTTTTCTTCATTTGATTCGAGGGTTTATACCAAACCTATCAACTGCGAATATTCGTTATCAACTGCCTGCTTAGAGGACTAAGGAAAAATTTCTTTTTATTGATACCAATTAAGAAAAACAGTGCAAAACAGTGCATAATCATGCAGTGATAGATTTCTTAATAAAATGGTTCATGCCAAGAATTTTCAGACTACTGTGCCTTTAAGTGTAGACATAAATGCTTAAAATGAAGTGTGAGCCATCCAGCAAAAATAATTTTTCGTTGCAGCGAACACATAACTGTTTCAGAAATTTATAATAAATTTAGTGCCTGCCTAAAAAAAGCATTTCATACACAAATAAATAAATAAGTACCTCCGGCGAAAAAAAGAAAAAAAAAATTATAATTTTGTTTCCAGTGTCCTTATGATTACTACACATGAAAAACCGGTCTTTTGCAATGAGAATTAGATATAACAAAATACACAAACATACTCAATATCCAATATTGCACTCTTTATACCCTCATAGAAATTAAGTTTTTGTCCCATAACTCTATGGCCGGAACGTAACTACACTTGTATTTTTAGTGTCTGCACATTAAGCTAACTAGAGAGCTATATTCCGGTTGTTCGCCCTCACTTTTGCTTTAAGATCGAATATATATATATATATATATATATATATATTCGATCTTAATGTTGGGAATCATTTAGTCCCGTTGTGTTTTATCGCCCAAGTAGAGATAAATTAAAGGGTTAAGTGCTCTGTAATTTCCTAAGAAAAAGCTAGTTGAAAAGCTCAATTTGTTGCCTCATGGAAGACATGCACTTGATATGCTAAATCAATTTATAGAAGTCTGTTTGACATTAACGTTCTATTTCATATTCATAAGGACTGACCGCGCTCTCATTTTGTTAGATTAGAAGGTTAGGTCTTACAAACCAGACTGTATCCCGTCTTCTCCTCTTACAAGTTATGCCAGTCTATCCAAGATGATCGCCTTAAGCAATTTGCCCTATTTAAGAGAAGACGCTTAGCACCTTTGAAATCGAGAGGCCATTTAGCTTAAAAGGTTTCGTTCAAAATTTATGTATTCACTAAACTTGATTACACCAATTGTGTGTCATAATGAAAGAAAGCACGCTTGGTTTCACTAATTTGAGAAGAGGGCTTCAAGATCTATCAAATTTGCGCTTTCAAATCCATTAGCATGTATAAACACACGACATTTGTTCTTCATAAGCTGTTTGCAATCCGCAGAAAGATCCAGACGGTATTTGCCCTCACTCCAAATTTCTTAATGTGGAGACTTAAGTGGTTTAAGATCTCTATTTGCCATCGGTGAACCAATTTTTAGTTGTTAAGGATACATCAAGCGGGCTTAAGAATAAAAGAATGCAAACAATTGAAGAAGGTTAACCCTTGAGCGAAGCAAGCATTCTGGTTGGAAGTGTCATATTAATTTAGCTCTAGTGTTACTGTACGTAAAAGTTTCAACATGTTTAGAAAGGTTTGTTTGACAGCAATTATCTTCTAAGAATTTAAAAAGCTGTAAGGCTGTGATGTATTATTTCTGGTTTTCCTGCAGATTATGACTAATCGTCGTCTACTTTAAGTAAAATAATTCACGGAAAAGAAAACGCCACAAGCTCCCATGAATGCAACATCGAGCTCCATGTTGAAATTAGTAAAATGGACAGCTGCTTTAAAATAAAACAAAAGCAGTCGTACTTTCTACTAAATTTTCCAAACTTTCAGCGGAGCCATAAACCTTAATTACTAACATATCACTCTTGTTTTACTAAAAAAAAAGCCAAAACGAAAAAAGCAAAACAAAAATAAAACAAAAATTTCGAGTATTATTTTTTGTAATAGGTTTTGCTCATATAACTCTTGAGAACATATTAGTTTCACCTGCTCAATTTAAATGTTATATCACTTTTCTTGAACCGCATCATTTGCTTTTTAGATGAAAGATGGCGTCTACTGAGGCATGTTTCGGCTGCAAATATCATAAACTTCAATAAATAGCTTACTCTCAAGGTCTCGTATCTTTCATTCATACAATAATCATTGATAAATTCAGGACTTTGACAAACGTAACTATGATTTTACCGAGCATACAAAACGCCAGTATATTCAGGTACGTTTCATTAACAGCCCCCTTATTGTCTTGAGAGTTTTATTTACAATAAAGAGATGATAATGAGGAGAAGTGGAAAACATGGAACCACTTCCAAGCAGGTTTTTTAAAATTGAATATTACACCCAACGCTTCAAACAAAAGGTGGAACACTTAGTGCCGTTAATCAAGGCCATATTAACAAGACCAAGTTACTCTTGTATTTTCTTCTAGTTTGAAAATATTCAACACTGCTTTTTCTGAGGAAGAATGGTGAAGAAATCCAGATAACCAGCAGAAGGTAGATCTTCCTCTCTTATGAGATGATTATACGAGGGTCTCAATGGGGTTAAACGTTAACTGTAAAACTGCTAACTTTTTAACTGTAAAACTGCTAAAACATTTAACTGTTAGGCATAAAAATTGACAAATTTTAACCTTTAGTCGGAAAAAAAGAGTAAACCGTGAACCAAATTCTGGTGAAAACAATGGAATGATGTTAACCGTTTGTGGTAAAGTGGCCAAAATTTTAACCGTAAGCTGTAAAGGCCATCACCCCACTGAGACCTTCTATTAAGGTAGTAATTCCCTTCTGCTCAAGGTAACAACAAACAAAGCTTATTGTAGGTTCGGAATTTTTTTTTTTTTATGCAAATCAGTACCGAACAAATTACACGTTAAAAGTAAACTGCGAACAACAATATACCACAGACGTTCTGATTTTAATTGAGATTGTAGCTTTATTTCGCCTTTTACGAAGGACAGTGTTGTTTTGCAGCCGTTTTCCTTCTAAATTCTACTTGTAAAAATGTTATTAGTTCTCTTCTGCTACAATTTGAGGACTTTCTACTCCGGTGAAAAAGGCATATTCGCTGGAGCAACACGCGTATTGAAAAAAGTTCAGAGTGCTGCCAATTGTTATCAAACTACCTTTGTTGTAATGACCTCTTTTTTCAAAGGTTCAACACAATGTTCTCTATGTTTTGTTTTTATTTGAAACCAGCTCATTTTTTCTACATATATATGCAATTACTCTAATAAAGAACACCATCATAAACAATTTTTTTCCTATCCCCCGGCAGTTTCCATTGACAGGAACTATTTCCAATCCACTATTGATGCAACTGTAATACCATTTCAGTGGAAACTCACCTGCAGAATTTCAACAAGTTCAAAATTTGTTTCTTCCTTTACCGTCCCCATTTCTTTGTAGAAAATGGTAAAAGGACGTCAGCAACAAACATACACCAGCACACCTGCTGAATTCTGTAATATTCTAGTTTCGAAGGGATTGGTCTAATTTCCTACGTAGACATGGAGATATTAAATTAACTGGCGATTCAATACAAACGTCGATTTGCCTGTTTACGTTAACATTAAAATTCATGTGTTACGTAATGAGTTCTCTTACGACTCTTTCCATTTAAGTCGGCGGTATATGCAGATTAATAAACATATTATTTGTCCCCAGGTTATTGTTGTACTTGTAAGGCGCCATGAAAAGCTGTAGATTCATCTTCCTCATTATTTTTCTTCAATCAAAGGTAAGTTAGACGATGTGGTCAGCATGTTTGCCCGAAGACTGACGAGAATAATGTTAAAATATCTCTATGACTGACATTGTTTTTCAGAACTCATACAGCTCCTCTTCTAGTGATATTAGTTGCGGGGACCTTCACACAGGTGGGCGATGGACGTGTTCTTGGTAGTTATTTGATAAATTTACACTTCTTTACGCTTTGAAATTATCATAACGCTCGCCATCTCAAAGATGCTTAAATTGAATAAATTGTTTCAAAATAGATTCTAGGATCCACCTCTTTAAGTTAAACTATGACCTGGTATTCCCAACTGCATTAATTTCAAATCAGTAGGAATTTTATTTAAATATCATCGTATTTATACCCAAATAGAATAACGAAATTTTTAGACTTTCGATTTCAAAACGCTCGTGTCATTTATTGCCCATTATTTTAACGAAGGCACAAAGTCACGCATTTCTATAAGCGGAAAAGTAAACAAGGAAGATAAACATATGAGGTGGCCAAAATATTGCGATAATTCATTGAGGCTTTTTGGTATTTGATATCAACAAAGGATTGAAAATATCAAGATCATCTTGTGCAGGCTTCTCTTCAATTTTTTTTGACATTTTAAAAGTCTGTATCACACTGAGCTGATGTTATTACGTTTGCCGATGCCATCAACTTAATGGAAAATAAGACTGGAGTGAGGCATGCTCATAATTTAAATAAACATAATTCTTCTGCAGAATATATTAGGGAGTCCAGATTTTATTGACACATATCAAATTGCAATAGAATGCCAGCACTTATACAGGTTGTCTTTTGTTTCATTCAGGAGACTGGATTTGAATTTCGTTTTAAAATTCAAGTCCATGTTTTCTCTGGGAAACTCAAAGCAGTCGGTAGAAAGATGCCTTCCCTGCAGTGCATCTATTCATGTTCGAACACAATAAGTATTGTTTGAGACAAAAACCCTCATTTAATGATACATTTTTCATAGAACCCAATGAAATAGCGGCAAAATGTAGTTAGAATTCATTTGCAAGCGAAAAAAATCACGATATCCCATAACTATTCACACCGAAAAGCTTCGATCTGGCGATGTGTAAAGGACACCGTTTACGCGAATTTCAAGCTTGCGCATTTGAAAAGCATTAAAACGAAATGAGCTCAGGATTCTTTTTATTAGTGGCAGATTTTGCTTTAAGTTTGAAGCCATCAGTTAGTATTCTGATGATAAGACAATTAATATAAGCTCGTCACAGGATTGGGAGCAACCAAGTTCAATACTTTGAGGTTGACGTAATTAAATCTTGAACTTACTTTATGTTTTCATATAGTTCCCTCCTTACCAGCTTAGCTAAAGAAATTATCAAATCATATATTTTTGGCCTCTTTGCACAGTCCCGGTGTTTACTAAACTGCATGGATAATTTTCGCAAAGTGCAAGCTTATCTTCCGCTATTTGCGAAAGCTGGATAGTTCTCTACAACATCGTTCGTGTTCGATGCAAAAATTGATCTTTGGAGAAACACAAAACATCATCAAAATGTAAATGGCCAAATTACTGAGGAACACCTCACTAACTCACCACACGAACTTGTACTTCACAGGAAACTGTACAAAAAATGAACTACCTCGTGCAGAATCACTTGGTATTATTTCCTGGACTTGCCAAGGTAAATTCGGAATAATAAGATTGAACTGTTCCTGTATTGAAACAAACAGCACAAGTCAAGCTTCACAAGCCTGCTGTGATGCACAAATAACTGAAAACGGCGACAGAGAAGAAATACATCAAGGAGGTAGGAAATTAAAATATTTCCCCAATGGTTTGTTAAAAGCGATGTATCCATGGAGCACAGTTGGATTCACCTACTTAATAGATGTGCCTCTCTAGGACGAGTTCCTCTCTCTAATACGTAGGGCCTTTCAATGTCCTGACAACTTTTGACATGTTTTCTAGAAAAAACCTGTATAATTTGGCTATCAAACATTAAATTCCCATTTCATAGAGCCAAAACCATATAATCTTTCTGATAAAAATTTGTGTATCTAGCACAATTTCCTGAATGCAGTTAAACATCAATCCGGCTACGGAAACATAGCCCTACAGAGGAAAATACTTTAGCAAAAACCGATCCAGCAACCTGTACATAACCTGTTTTTAATTACAAGCTGTAAAAACTATCAGAGAAAAGCCGTAATACTCTCAGAAATAGTTCAACAGCATTTATCATTTTTCTAGTTCCCTGTATACTCAGCTGTACACCCTGTGGAAACAAATCGCGATCAGTTGAATCAGTAGATAGCTGGCAGTGTCAGTGGAATGGTTTTCGTCTGGTGTTGGACGTTCAGGGACGTATGCAGTTTCATACTCGTTGCAACGCAAGATCTCCTCCATTGGCTACGCACGATTGTAAGTGCGGTTTAAATCAGCATTTTTTTCACGAACTTTTGTCCTTTGGAAAAATAGAAGGATCGCCACCAAATTTGGGAATTTTTTTTTTGATGTACTGGTATAGGTATACCAGTAGAGTAGGAATTGTGGGAAATTAGTGAAACTTGAGCACATTTTTAAAGACTAGAGCAATTGCGCGACCCCGAGGGGCGAACGCGGTTTGCATTTAGGGGTCTGAGGATTTACAAGCCCTAATTTTGTTCCAAGTACACGAGAAATCGTTTGATAACTTGTTAATAACGTACATAAATTCATTTACCTTCATGTACTCAGTTTCAACTTTCCCTATTGCTAGGAATTAATCGGCTTGATCTCAGGCAATGCGGACGCTGAAACATTTGCATTTATATCGATATTAAGGAAACACACATCAATGACTTTCGCCTTATAGGTGATGGCAAAATCTATCAGAAGAATAGGAAAAAGTACTTTGATCAGGTAAGCGCTCTAGAGGTTAATGTACACCTGTCTTCTTGCCTTTAAATTAATTCACTTATTGTTTCTACGCAACACGTATCTGATCTTAAACATTTCCTAAGCATCGAAAAATGAACTGAAATATGAAACATCTTTTAGTACCAACTTTTTCGAGCTACCATAAGTTTTCAAGGCTTTCAAAACCTCCGGCCTATGCAGTGAACCACGGTAATGGTTAATTAAGGGTTCTCACAAAGACAAAAAGACTGATGGATAACAAAATTGAGAAAACGGCGGAATCGCTATTGTCACTTCGGGAAAACCTTTTCATTACAAGGTGGGAAACAACTGTCTTGTGAAGACCATCATATGGTCAGGAAATGACCCTGCGCACCATACTTCAATCGCCCGATATCTGCAAATACCATTAAGACTTTAAAACTTTAACGAACCCTTCAAAGAAAGATCAAAAGTTGAATAATTCTGTGAGTCGCTCCATAAGTCGAAAATTATAAGTGTCACTTAAAATTTTAAGATTATTCCGAAAAATCCTGGCTAACAAAATTTGATCTCGTTATTCAGTTTATATAAACACTCCCACAGATACTTTTTGAAGGCGTTATTAGCGTTTTCTAAAAGATCGCTTGCTGTTTAAAAAATATTGCATTTAAGTTTCTTGAGAGAGCTGCTTTATTATTGTAAGACTGTTTCTTAACAGTGTTTGTCGACAAAGCAAAGCAGCGTCTTCAGGAAATGATATTCATGAACTTTGGTTGATTTCCGATATGCTTGAAATGCTTTTACCGCCTTTTACGTTTGTTAAATGATGGTTCATAGGTTAAAGCGCATTAACAAGACTTAACAACGATTTCAAATCATTTCGTGCAATAGAATCAGAAGCAACATCTTCATAATGCCTACAATAGACCATTTCTTGCAATACAATTTTTGAGAATGCCACATCTGTGAAATCAGTTTATAGTGCAGATTTATGATTACTTTTGAACTTGTACGGTCAGATTTCTGTAAAAGTATAAAATTTGAATGTGGCTTTGTTGGCTGAATGTATTCGAGAAGGATGTCTATGTCAAGAAAACAATATCCGTAATCGATCAATTGAAAACCCTCAGTAAAGGTGCCGCCGATCAGACGAGCAACCAAAATGCAGGAAGAATGAATGAATAGATCATTTGCTAAAGTAACTAAAGAGCGTTTCAAAGAAATTAGACGAACAAAAACACCACCTGCTACATATTTTTGTTGCACGTTTGGCTTTTATTCAGGGAGCTAAACTGCAGTGTCATACAAAAACCATGAAGAACTTTCTAAATTCCACGTATTGCAAATTGGACGTGTGTAACATCAGAATTTCCAAAGAGCAGATGATTCAATGAAATTAGCCTGTTGAGTGACTCATATAACAAATTCCAGTTTATCATATGAAAACACATGCGTATCTTAAGAATTTGCTAGAGTTGCCGCCAATAACACGGGAAATTTAAGGACAGGATAGAATTTTAGCTATTTTGAATGCATAGTTACTCTATAAATAGGCTGTTTTGAAGTTATAAGGTTGTAATTTCTCAGCCAAACAAAACGGGATGAGCACAACAAGGGCTGAAACACGAACTCGGATACAGGTGACACTTGTGTTGCCAGTGTTAAAAATGATGGCGGAAAATTGTTCCAGGTAATGAGGGAAATGCAATACCCAGGAAAGTTGCTGAACACTGCAGTACAAACAAAGGACACAACATCGATTGCAAACGAAGTTTCAGTTTAATTTAATAAAAATGATGTGTATGTGCGATTCTTGTCTAATCTAATAGACTAAATTTAGTTACAAAGCTAAGTTTAAAAACATGACAAATACCAGATTTGCAGACGTCTTTCAAACTGGGTGAAAACAATGCTAGCAAAACTAATAACGCTGGTAGGAACACGTCAAGTCAGGTCAATATACTTTTAACTCACAAGAATATTTTATCTTAGATGGCTTAATATTATCACATATTGACATAAATGATTTAGTGCTTACAGTAGATTGAAAAAAATGATAATAACTTGCATTGCATCATTACTAACATTAGATGGACGAGAAAAGGAAAGATGTGTAGGAAAATTGAAAGACTTTCAAGGCTTTGGATTTTGTGACACCAAAAAAGTTCACGAGTGGGTGAGCCAAATAAGTAATACTAGAGAAAGGAAAATTAGAACATCAAGTGCAACGGAAGGAAAAACTGAAACAACACCGAGAAATTAAAAACTTATACAAAACATCAGTAATTTACTCCTCGTTCAGTAAAACACACAGTAAAAGCAAATACTTGTACAGAGGATGAAAAATTTCTTTTGTCTGTACGTGTTTTATTGAAGGCTGAAGGCAATAAGGTTGAATCGTAATTTTCCTTAGCTTACATAATTCTTCTTGGATGTCATAGAAGATGTAAAATCCAGGTTTCGATTGGTTTGGAAAATATTGCCAGCTATTTTACGAATAACCGCTCGATTATGTTAAGTAAAAGAAAAGAAAGAGGGCTGGGAAATGTCGAAACCATCTTTTAATCACCCCTCCAAAAGGAAATAAAAGAAATGTACCGGATCTGAATAGGTGAATAGTCTTCTAAACATATATGCTAATTTTTATTTTGCCTATAGTTTTTTCAATTTTCACTTCCATTGTTTTCTTATGTGACATGCTAAGATAGGAAAAGAAAAAGTGATATGAAGAAAAAGTTTTAATTTTAATTGTCAGAGACGTACGTGGCATTTTAATTTTTCTCGACGCTTCTACATCAATAAAGATTGAGATAAATTGTGAACAGCTGGCTTACTCCTTTAAAGATAGCTAACTATTTCGTGCTATGTTTAACTCCATAAGACTGGTGGTCGACTGAAAGACCCCAGATCATGCGATCTTCAACCTTAGGTACTTTCCTTGCAGAAACTTGTATCTCAGCTGCAAGCATCGAGTAAAGCCAGAGAACATGACGGGTGAATAATTAGTTAAATTTGTGGCTGGTTTGGAGTTCTGTTTAGTAATGATGTAGAGAAAAATTTAAAAGGAACAAGAAAATTGGTCGTAAAAGCGTCTCTCTTAATAATTGCAAAATTGCTCCGGCCTTTAGGATAAAATGAATTCTAACAGATGGCTAGTTTTATTGGATCTGTTGCTGGTGTTCACAGTTGAGGTAAATGTTTCTTGATCTTTTCAATGCACGCTTACCTCGACTTATCCATGAACTAATTCAAATGTTTTTTCTCTAGATTTCAAGCTCACCTCAACAGAAAGAGGATATAATATCTACAGGTAATTTCTCTTGGGAGGTGTATCATAACGCATTGAAATTCCTTTTTTTAAATGATCTCGTCGAATAACTTCCCTTCATTGCCATGATGTTTGTACGATCGCAAATTCAAAATTTGAAAAGAAACTGTTTATGAACGAATCATTTCTCCAGAATGAGCTCATCAAATATATATACCTTCAGGCAAAAATATCCAGAACTACTTGCTTTTATTTTAATTAAGAAAATGATGAATTGAGTCCTTAGTTTTAACTGAGATAAATTGAAATTCTTACATATGCGTTTTGACCGCAATTTCCGTTGCCCAATGATCGAAAAAATATTCCCGCCGAGGTGACTCATGCACCAGCTGAAAATTATTCAACATCGTTTTCCTCAGAAACTTCAGACCATCTTCTTACGGGGAAAGTTTGACAGAAATGTCATGTTCTCTGCAAAACATTTATCGAGAGTAAGTTGTCAAAGAGATGCGGTTTAAATTTCAGATAGCTGTCAAAAAAGTTGTCTAATAGAGGTGAAAATTAAATCATGGTCGTTAACTTTTTCTTTTTCTGCCGTTACATGAACAATGATAAAAACTTTAATGGTGGATGGACACCCATTCAAACACCAGCAAAGGGCTGAGCAATTAGCAATATTTCTCGTTCATCTATGAAACAGTCAGTAGCAAATAATTTGCATAGACCCATTTCTTTAAGTAATTAATTCAGATCCGACTTTCTCCTGACCCGAAGCTCTACCGACGGAAAAATATGGAGGAAAATAAAGATGTTAGTAAGGACTCGTGTGCACGTCGTGAGTCCAGGTAATGCAATAGTAATGTCACCGTATACTACATATGCTTGTACCTCTAAAGAGACGAGCGTCACTCTCCACCGCCACCTTGGACGGCTCTTCCTTTCATGTGTTGACGAGAAAAGTTTACTGACGATCAAAGATGGTTGAAAATGTCTGCAAGGTCTTTACGCCCTTTTAGCATCAATAATTGATCGAATATGTATTTTCTCCAGTAAGGCATGGCTGGAAAAAGCTTGCTTTTCTGCTTCAATTTTATTAAACTCGTAATATCAAGATAAAAGCAGTTGAGAACCGACGATATACGTGAGGTTGAACAATCACTTCAAGCTAAAATTTTGCGCCTATAATTTCTAAGGAAATGTTAAAAAATTTATCATCTGAAAAAGTTATCACCTCATTTAGATACGAGTCATGTTACTTGGCTATTCTTTAGCTTTGTTACAAAGCATCTCATTAAACTTACTTCGATCAAGCCAAGCTACACCTTGAAGAAAATATTGAATTGGAAATTCGTACTCGGTCAGCTAGTCAAAATCGATTAGTATCTGACACGCACAGACGGCAATAACGTCATTAAAACCTAAAATGATCACGAAACTTCAAGCTTATTTCTTTGAAACGTCATTTGCATATTATAGTATACATAATTTGTATACCTAGTATACAAATTACTTTAATGATAAGCTCACCGGAGATGGATAAATCGCATTAGATCCTCTCAATCCATTATCCGTCACCTGATGCCGATGTCCGAGAGACCCTGAGATTCTGAAAAAGCTGTTCGTAGAGGTTAAACCCTCAGACGCCGCAAGCACAGGCAAGCCGAGAAAACCTTCTCTCGTAAGCATACGTAGCATGAATCCGAAGTCAAGAACGTCTCTCGAGAAGCGCAAGTGCATTGTAAGCAAGAGCTACGAATATATTTTTGGATCTTACGAGGTTAAAAGTGGAAAGGCGAAAGAAAGTAATAGAAAAAGACATTTTGAAAAATAAATGCAAAAAAAATACAATGACAGAAGAAGTTTTGATCGTGCTAGATTCAATAAATATTTTGAACAAGTGCATGCATCATAATACATTACTTGACAGAAACGTACCTCAAACCCAAACAATAAATATTAAATTAATAACTAACTTGAAAGTTATAAGTTAATGATCATTAATGTGTAATAAAGGCTTCATTTATTATCAAAACAAAGCAAAACAAAACAAAACAAAACAAAACAAAAAAATAAACGTTTATCTTGTGGATGCAAATGTTGTAAACGTCACGAAGTCTATTTAAGGTCGCCGTTGACTTTTAATATTATGAATCTTTCTTTACTTTATGTTTCTTTCTTAAGTCATACCCGGTTTATTCTTTAATTATGAAGCCACAAATTCATTCGAACCGATTAAACTTTGAATAATAGGTTTGAATCATGAATTGAAGACTTTTTTGCTCAATAATTTAAAATCCTTATCTGCCTGCGAATACCTAGTCCAAACCAATAAGAATATAGAACTGGCTTCGTCCTACACGACGTTTCCGAATGCTTTTAGCCTGCAGCCCAGCTGTCTTATCAGTGCGAGCTAACGTTTTAGGCTCGCGATCGTTTATCTGACCCAGTCCATGTTTGATTTGGGGTTGGAGTGGACGATGGGGGTAGGGGGCGGGGGAAGAGCGAGAAGATTTCTGCCCGAAGAAGCTGTTTACAAGCAAAACAACCCCTGATTATATGCGCGTCACTGCATTTCCGGAAATGAGCAGATATCCAATCAAAATGAGTTAAATAAAAAACCGGAAGCACTGCCTTCCGACACAAACAAACACACTTAGAGCCCATGAGTGATACAGTGAGGCAGTTTTTTTTCTCAGCCAGAAAAGAAATGGCTTCGGCAAAACCTTCTCTGTGGTCGCAAATATGAGCTGATATTTACTACACTCTGTCTTTCCAAATGAAAATCCTTGAGTATGGCTGCCGTTAATCTATTTGACAATTTTTTTCTTTCTCCGTTTGATCGTAGACGATACTTTAAAGTAACAAACAACTGCACTCGAAGGTGTACCCGCCATAATTTGTTTGATGCAAACTGCATACTCTGTTGAAACGGTGTGGCGTTTTTTTCATCAACGATATAAATGGCCTCACCAAAACGAACTAATATTTACCGCACTCTATATCCTTCAAATGACAATCCGTGAGTGTTGCTACCGTCAGGAGCCCGTGATGGGCTCCTGCTACCGTTAATTCGATAGAAGATGCTAATTCCATTTGATCATAAACAATACATCGAAGCGGATAAACGACAACTACGCTCGAAAGTTTCCCGTCATAGTTTCTTTCAGAAAAACCAACAGCTGAAATATCGGGCTTTTCCAAAAGCTAACTGGCAACACGGCCTGTAAATTCTTTCTAGAAACCATTGTAGAAATTGTTTCTTTCTGTTCCAATTTTAAATGCGTGAGACATTAAATTCCAAAAGAAACTTAGGGCCTGTTTACATGGAGGTGGGGGACCCCAGGTAGGGGGGGTAACCCGCCTAGGTGGGGTAACCCGCCTGTCCATATAATTTCTTATTTTATTTTGATCACGTTTACATGGAAGGTGGGGTGACCCGCCTAGGCGGGTTGCCCGGTCTGCCAGGTAGGGTAACCCTGTCAGCCGGGGTGACAATTTGCCATGTAAATTTGTCAAGGTGGGGTAACCCGCCTAGCCGGGGTCGCGTTCATAGCAAAAAGCTCAAAAGCAAAACGTGTATGTTTTAAAACTTTGCACATTTCCTAGCCGTCTCATGGCAGAAATCACCAGAAACCGCAACGGACACACAAGGAGTGTAAAATGTTCACATTTCGGAATATTTAGCGTTGTAAATCGACCATATTTGGTTTCCCAAACTATTCCGTATAACGTATTAAATCAACGGTTCCTCGCAAAACCAAACACCGCGTAACACAACGCGTGACGCTTTCATGAATAAATACATATGTGTTCGAGAGTTAATCTTTCGTCTTTTTCGAGATGTGAGCTTGGAACGCCTCTGCTCAAACTTCCTAATTGCAAGCGCAACAACAACCTCAAGAAACCTCACCTCAGCACCCCGGGGTTGTAAGATTGCATGTAAACGTGTTTTATTTTTCGACCACGGCTAGGCGGGTTATCTCACCTACCTGGGGTCCCCGGCCTCCATGTAAACAGGCTCTTAAGGGCTTCCTCGAGAGCGGAATCGAAACTAATAACTTCACAGTCAGAGTTCGCCATCTTTCTCTTTCTCCCGCAAGAGCGAAATGTCAGAATGACGCTCAAATGGCACATTTGGCTTGTGATTGACAGCTGGAACTTAACCGCATCAATCAGGAACTCAGTTCGTGAGCGAACGGAGTTTTGCAAAATGATAATGAATTCGAGCAGGCGTAATCTTTACTCCCCCACCTTCACCTTTCTCCTTATTTTTGACCGTCGACCACCCCCTTGGAAAAAATTTCTTTCTCTCTCCAGCCTTCCACTGCCATTAAAGTCAAGGATGGTGGCCATAATTTTCGTCAAGAAAATACTAAGCACTCGCTCGCCAAAATTACGCCTGCTCTGTAGGCTAGAATGTTTCTAATAATCCCACGCCCAAAATTTGTCCGTAGATAGACGTTTCAACATGCGTAGACGATGGTTAAAAGGGAACTCATGATAAATATCCCGCGGCCTTTTGTTCTTGTGTTCTAAGGGATCCACTCTCTCAAAATTTTTCTCCTCTGGGTAAGATTCGACAACTGTAGCCGAAAGTTCCCTTTGTCTAGTGATGCAAACAGTAGGGTACACAAGAAGTTAAAAAGACGCAGGTATTTTCAAATTTATCAGATTTAAATTGGACAAGATATTGTTAAAGGTGCAGTTAAAAAAATTTGGACCCCGCCATCTTTTACTCGGTTCCCGCAGAAATGAATGTATCACTGTGCAAAATCAGGATGAAGTTAATAATCGATTTTTTGTTATTTTCTGTCCAGTATTTTGTAGTCAGTCAAGCAAATATCGGAACGACAGTTCTGAATTACACATCGAAATATACTGGAATTGCACAGGTCATTCGAAATACATCTTCATGAGCTGCAAAGGATCTCAAGAAAGAAAAAAAACATTAGACCTCTCCGGAATGTCCTGTCAAGCTTCTTTTGAAGAGGAAAACAACAGGGCCACAAGAGCAGGTATTTGGTGATTAAATAGAGAAAAGAAATGTTGCCCTATATGTTGACGTCAAGGCATACGGACATTGACGCGATACTAAACATGCAACTAATGAATTCGTTTGCCTACCTGATTGTTTAGTCCGTGTTTCGCATCAATCCAGGACGTTTCGTTCATCTACAACGATCATAAAGCTAATAACAGTCATTATAAATTGAACTGGAAATGCTTAAGAAGCATTTCCTTTAGCTTTTCTATCGGTGGTGAAATGTATCATAGCGTCAATGGTCAGTTAAATCCACGAGCCACTTACTGGAATGGAAAGAGTTGAACTTGAAAATGAAACTGGAAGCAAATTACATAGAAATAGTAAGAGTATATCGAGGTTGTGCTAAACATTTCCAAGTCAAACTGAACATGCCATTAATATATCTATGAATTCACTCTTTGCTGCTGCTTTGTCGAAAAATTTAATCTAATGATGTATTGCTGTAGCATTCTGCCTTGGAATCTTTGGAGCACAAAATGTCTCTTCAATGCAAACCAACAATTATCGAACATGGCACTGTGAGTGGGGACGGTTCGCCTTAAACATCTCACAGCAAATCCCTGGTACTGGTTCTGGAAGTATGCAAGCTGCAGGGACATTATATCACATACAAAGGCGTAACAACACTCATCTTCAAACCTTTCATAGTACTGGTGAGAAATTTGGTCTATTATAAGGCCCAGCATGAGCGTAATACCGAGCACTTTTCATTTTCTGGCTTGTTATGAAGAAGTAAATTGACTCCGAAAGAAGGAGTGCGATAAAATGCCTTTGGAGCAGGCTCATTCGGGACATTTCCAAATAGTCTCAAAATTGAGTAATGAACAAAAAAAATTTTCCTCTGACCCATTTATACCAGTCAGTTGGTATCAACATCATCTAGCAGTAACTTCTCCAGAATGACTAACCAATGTGTGATGATTTACGTTAAGATTTGATAGATTTTGATTTTGATACATTAAGTAACAAGTTTAGGTACTCGAACGCCTCCGTCAAAGTCATCAACGGGGTCCAAATATTTGAGTAAGCAAATAATAAATATATATTATTTTAATTGATTGCAAAATGTGAAGAAGCTGTACAAAAGAAGAAAGTATTCAAAGTGCTCTTTCTTTCATGAAGACTAATGAGATTCTGATCCCGTAATTCATTTTTATCGGCCCATGTATTTTAGTGATCGATAGCAATTCTGCTATTGTGCTAATCGTTTGAAAATGATTCAATTTTTAGAAAAAATTACACAGACAACCACATCAACGTCCTTACCTCCTGGTAAGAACATTTTACCATGCTTGTTAGGTGAATTTAACGTCTCAATTACCGTTCACTGAAGAGGGTCAAACAAGGTACCTTATTTTTATCCATCCCTTCCCTATATTTCAATTAAATTTTCCTCGCAAATAAAATATATTAAAGTTCACACGGCAACCAGGTGGACAATCAGACATAGTTTGAAGCTACACTGGTTTGCAGATTTAATGAATGTAACCGAAGTTACAATTCATAGACCCAACGTTTCGACACTCCTGTCTAGTGCCTTCATCAGGGGTGATCTAAACGCTGCAACAAGAGGTCCTTTTATATGATCACTAATTAGCGGCCTTTTTTCTGACGAGGTGTAAATAGGCGTCAGGAAGCAGACCGCCATCGTCACGATTTAAATTTTCCTATTTGGAAAATCAATTAATGGGCTAATCAGAGAGGGGAATCGCCAATAGAACATAAGTATAGTTGTCTAAGATACTGCATTTTATGCTTCTCTAAGTCAGTGCTACGAATCGTTTGTGCGGTGTAAAAATTGACCACAATCGTTTTATCTCCCAATATTTGTCTAAATTTCAGTGACACAGAATTCATCTGCAACCACGTTTTCTTCAAGTAAGTACGCGTTTGATAACTGTCTTAGATCAAGTAAATGGTTTTACGTTCCAGTCGTAACACTGAAAACTCGCCGTAAAATTCATTCGATATCTCAGTAATATCATATGTGATTGATAAAGGCATGAGAGCATTGATGTCTACATGACACAGATAATACGTGATTTCAAGGAGACATTTTTAAGTCTGTTTGTACCAAGTATGCGACAAACAAAAAAACTGAGTCACCGAAAGGGATCAAACCCCTTACCTTCCCCAACACTGTCGATTGCATCAAAACTAAACATCTTGGAACACGTGTCCGGCCAATCCAAGTTAATTTAAACTTCTTTCGTTTGTTTCCTTGTTTGAAGAGGAAATGAGAAGCTCCTTACCTTTCCATCAAAACTATATAGGCTTGTCTTAGATTCACAATAACCTTGAAGAGATCGTTATCATAGCTGTATTTTGACCCCACAGGTAACAAAGGAAATGCCTCGTCTACCATCATCGGCAAAGTGAAGACTCTAGTAAGTCAGCCTTATTCTATCTCCATCCGCATGTTTTATTTTCACCTATATTTGTTTACTACACTAATATCCACATTTTCACCCAAGCAGTAAACTATTACATGCTCAAAACTTGTACATGCAAAAAAAACCTGAAATAGCATGACGTCTCTCCGACCTCTCTTAAAAGTATTTTGGATATTTTTAACCTGGCCAATTGCTGTAAGGAGAAAGTTTATCTGTCTATTAATGCGCAAGAAAGTTTGTAGGAAAATTTTGTTTCGGAGCATCGCCGTCTGCTGTCGGTTGAGGTTGACCTAAATACATTACTCATTTTTGCAACAAGCCCGACAGACCAAAGTCAAGTAACAATAATCAAAAACACCGCCGAACACTTCTGAACTGAATGAGATAAAATGTGGTAGGCGTGCCCTAAATGGGTTGAACGTTCATAATTTTCTTGCAACAAGCATTTCTGTTTTTCACCAGGCCAACAACCTTACTAAACACGTTAATAAAAGCAGAAATTGTTCAGCTGAGATGGTAAGTGTTATGCGGGCTAGAGCCCATTTTTTCGTCAGCAGATCGTCCCGTATATTGCTCAATTTTCCCTCAAATCTCGAACTTCCCTGAAATATTAACAGTTCTGAATTCTCAAAGATTACCTAAAACAAAACCAAATTATTATTTTCAAATAAAATAACTGGCATACCAATGCAAAATCATGCTCTTAAGTCAAATAAATCCAGGAATAAATTTATACTTTGCATTGAATCGGCTACAATCCAAATAGTATACGGAAAAAGGGAATTTTATCACATTGCACAGCTAGAAAACGACTTGAATGTTGTGGCTCCAGAAAACCGTCCAGAATCTAAACAAAAATCGATATACCAGCACGACATTCAAAAAGTTCACTCCATTTAGATCTTAAAAAACCAACTTTTTATGTCAATTTTCCTTGCCCCAGAGATAAAGTCGTATAGACAAAATTTTCATTTTTTCCACGGTAAGTTAGACGTTTTTCCTTTTTTTTTTTACAAGGTTGTAGAATTACTTCGGAACATAGAGGCTGAAGTCCATTCCTTTATTGGGGAGATCCTTAATTTTGAGGATGTGGAACTACCTTCGTTTTCCAATCATTCCAACCGGATAATAGGTGCAAGTCGTTTTGATATCTTTCATCTTTATAGGAAAGTTTCCCCATTCCTCATGGGGGCTTGGGGAGTTTGCTTCTTAAATCCTCTCGGAATAACTTGGGCCAATTATAAAAGGTTAAAAGTTAGGTGAGCCAGGTGATCTCCCGAAGTGCCCGATATAACTAATTCTGATGTAAGCGAATTCCAATCCAGTGAAACGGGACCACGCTCAAAACAATCAGAACTTTCAGAGGAAAACGATTCAATAAAGCAAAAATAGCCTAGAAGTTTTTAGCTAAGAATGTACTGTCAGCGATCAAGACGTGATTTTTATCTTCCTCGACAGAATTTCACTGTGTTATTGCCACAAGCGTCAACAAAACATTAAAAGTTCCTAGCACCTCTGAAGCAGGCCAGTCACAAATTCTGTTCGTTTTACCGCCAGGTTCAATTGATTTAAAAAATGGTAAGTTCGAAGATTATAAGCATAATAATTAAGTATAATTTTTAAATCCACGATGATTTCAAATATTGTTTCCGTCCTGCAGCAAAGGCTGCCAACGAAAGAATATTGGGATCTTGTATGACGTAATGTCAAATGACTGCTCAGTTGCTTAAGGAAATCTTGAAATGACAAACGCCATGTAGTCCATATCTAAGAACTGCAGTCCTAAAAAAGTATCTTCTTCGATGTAAGGTTACACTTTTTTTTAGCTGAGATAGTTCTAGACAAAATAATTTTTGTCAGGGAAGGTAAGTCATTGGAACAATCCTAAACAGTTCATATGAGATATTCTTACCTGTTTTATAAGGATTTTACTACAATTTAAAACATCGCAAAGTTTCTCTTTTTCTGCCATATTTTGGAAAAGCTTGCTCGCTAGAAAAAGAAGACTTGCATTTTTTACTAAGGGTTTGGTCTGCGCTTCAATAAGAATAAAAGATTTGTAAATTGTTTCACATGTTTTTTCCGTGTCCATTCAGAAGGACGGATTGCCATAGTAACGGTTGTATTCAAGTTCGCTTCACTGTGCAATGATACAGATGGTTTGGCTTTAGGCTCATCGACAGAAAAGAGGTAAGATGTTAGTAAACAGTGTGCACTATCGACAATAAATATTTCCTCCACTTTGAAGCGGCCCGATTTCCTGAATTTCTTTAATTGTAGTGTACCAATGAAGTTCAAGTCTACATCCTTCAGACAAACGTACGAAGAAAACCCGTTAAAGACGAAAAGGGAACGAATAGATTTTTGTTCCATAATACTTAACGTACAGTGTTTCGCTGTCTTACACCGCGTAGCATAAACATTTTTAATCCGAGGCAAATTATTGATTTGAAGAGGAGCCGAGGCGGCCCAATGTTTTTACTTATGAAAATTCTGTATTTCAACAGATCCTCTTTCTTGAAATCTCCGGTAGTTTCTCTGTTGGCAAAGACCAAAAAAAGTAACGTACATACTCTTCAAAACAACGCGACTTTACGATTTAGGATCAAGGTAATATAATACATTATTTTACGCTTTTACGAGACGGATTTTCAGTGATGCAGTGAACTATCATAATCTGCCCTACTAATACAGAACGTTCTCATAATCTACTGTACTCATCGATTTAGAGGTGCTAAAAAAATTGCAATAATATAATAGTTTGTGCCAATAGGTCGTATCACTTTCTTAGTTGTTTGATTGCCATTCGGGCTAATTTCACAGAGCTTTTCCACGGTGTTACCCAACGATGATCACTTTACTAATATAATATAATTTCGCTGTTGTTGCTCTCAGAGGGATAATCAATCATCCGTCGGGTGTCGGTTTCTGAGCAACAGAAACGGGTAAGTATCTTTACATTATTAATATCCTGGGTGACTTCGATGTCAACACGTTGAGAACATTTGAATAAAAACTTAGAACGCATTAAAATATATTCTCTAGAAGAACTACACTGTGGATAACACATGACTATTTATTTCAACGATGGTGTTATTGCATAGATCTCCGCAAAAAAGGGTTCGCCAGTTTGCTAAGCGTTTTTGTAACAACATTAAGTTGGTTTTTTCATCTTTTAAAATAGATAATATGGCTGGTGTGAAAGATCCTAACACTCGTGGGCTCCCTACGTGTGTGGTTTACAAGTTTTTATGTGCGGGCTGTAATGTCTGCTATACCGGCTAAACCTCTCGGCATTTATCCACACGCGTAAGTGAGCGCTTGGTCAGTGATAGGACCTCTCACATCTTCAGACATCTACATAATTCCCCACAATGTCGCACTCTTTGTTCTGATGAGTGTTTAAACATCTTAGATCACGCTTCCACAACTTTTCAACCTAAAATCAAAGAAGCTATCCACATTCAATGGGAGAAACTTACACCTATTCGTGAACTTTATCATGTTAATTTAAAACTTTCCTTGTAAATGCATACATTGTTCTGTTACTATTGTTTGTTTTGTCCAATCAGCATTTTGTTATACACTTTAAATTCAACTTTGTGCTTTCTATTATTCAGAACTGAAGATGACAGAGGAACTGTCGAAACATTTTTTTAAAAATTTTCGTTCATTTTCTTAAATTCGTTATATATCTGCTTCTATCCAGAACTTTTAACGACAGTGTAGTTAGTAACATAATCAATGTTACTGTAAGGTAAAGCTACATGCATTGTTTAACTAATTCTTATTTTTAAGTGATCTCCTAATCTTTGACGAAAAATCATGCCTTTGTCTGTGTATTTTTGAGTTTTTAGCCTCAAAAATTACAAAAAGTAGAAAGTTGTGAAAGAAGCATTGTTATTTCCATTGATAGGTCCAAACCTTTCTGGTCCGATAAAGGAATGACGTTCATGGATAAATATGAAGAGAACTTCATTTCGTGTTTGACAGATCACCTCACTAGTTTTGCTGTTCTAATCAGTTACAACGAAGATCAGTCACAATTTCAGGTATGAAACACATCTGTGAAAAAAATCAGCAATGGAATGTTTGCACTAATTAACAAGAGGACACAAGAAGGTTCCATTTTCCTGTGAAGCTGGTTTAAATGTTCACAAACAACTTCAAAGTGTGGCACACGAGTAGTAGGAAAGAACCAAACAAAACTTATGCAGTGAAGAAGATGACATACTTAATTACTACAGAAGTTCTGTAATTTGCCCGGCACACCCTTGAAAGATGGCTTCCTGAAAGATCATAATAATTATAGAAAGTCTGAGTAATTACATTTCCAACTGTTAAAATCATGGCCATTCGGCTATTACATTTATATCCGTCATTTCAGATACTTAGTTTGTCTAACACAGCATCTTCCTCAAAGGATCTATAATTATGATTTCAAGTACTGACTTATTTACGTATGATTGTTTTTATATATAGGCTTATTAATTCAGATTAAGTTTTGGATTGGGAAAAAAGTGAAAGTAACATCCTAATTCGTTATAAAAATACTTTTTCAGCTTTCAAAAAAAGAAGAGAAGGCACTGGATCTGATCACGAAAATTGGTTGTGGTTTTGCCATTCTATGTCTTATTGGAGTTATTGTTACTTTTTCCTGTGTCAGGTTTGTGTTCTTTTTATATCCTGTACTCTCTCTATGAATTTTCTATAGTTCATATTGTATGAGTTGTGTTGACCTGCAAGAATTCATAACGTTATCTCCAAGAGACTTTGCAATTTCGCTTTCAGGACCTTATCAGCAATGCGATACCGTATTCATCTTCATCTCTGTGTCGCCCTTGTCGCTGCACAAGTAATATTTGTCACTGGCGTTGACGCCACAGGAATCAAGGTGAGTCACCCTTATAATTTTATAAATAGGATAAACGCCTCGAGTTGTTGCAGTAGGAAGTTAAACGGAACTCTCCATTCCCTTTCCTCTTTTTACCATCAATAGCAACCAGGATCGCGCACAATTTGGGAGAAAAGTGCGCTCTTTTTTTGAGCATCGCTTTTAAGATCATTGCCACTATTACCATTTTACTCTACAGTAAAAACAATATCGTAAATAAACATTAGTCTTCATATGAAAAATCGGATTGGTCGAGAGAATTCAATCAATATACAATAGCGTGTGAGATTGACAAGATAAACGCAAGACATAAGACAAACAAAAAAATAAACAGTCTGCCTAGTATGTAAGTCCATCGTACGTGTGGTGTTCTCAAAACTTTTGTCTACTCAGAGAGAGACTCAAAATGGCCGAAAGCTTTGCCTCTGTTTCTGAGGTGAATTTAAAACTTTTGATTGAAGAGAAAGATTTAAGAAACATCAGGAAAATAGACCGGAGCTGGTGAGACATGTTTCTGTTATTTTCCTCTCACAGGAGGTCTGCATTGCTGTAGCTGTTATGCTCCATTACTTTTTTACCGCATCATTTGTCTGGATGTGTATAGAGGCCGTCCACATGTTCATCAAAATTGTTTCAGTGTTCAACATTCAAAGAATTCGCATGCGACATTATGTGGCATTAGGATGGGGTAGGTTTTGACTCCTGTCTTTATCCTTTGCAAACTGTCTCTGATGATGGATGCCCAATAGCGTCAAAGTGTTTCTATCACTCCACTTTTAACTTAAGTCGCACATCACTTCACAATTCGAAGCTTTAGGAAAGCTCTCTTCTCTTGACCAAACTTTCTGTAATGCACCGTAACGAATTGTTTGACAATAACCTGGTCTAGTCAATAGAATTCCGGTAAGAAAAGTATGGGCAACTACATATAGGTGGATGATGAAGAGATGACCCAGCCTGCAACATAGGGTAAAACAATCCGATCACCTTTTCTTCATCTATTCTAGGAGTACCAGCTGTGATAGTTGTAGTATCAGCGACCGTACATTATGAAGGATACGGCACATCAAAATTGTAAGTAAAGTTGTAAATGCACATTTCCAGACACCAACATTTTTTTCATATATCGTATATTTCTGAAGTTCTTTTTTCTGTTTAATTTTTGAACTGTTCGCTATCATTTTGATATACCTTTTACATTGGAAAGTACTAATGCGATAAATAATTCGTTGATTTCTACAAATGTCAGGATGAGTTGCATTTATTATCATTTCAACATTAACTGTTAATACATTTTCCTGATGCATTGCCTCATAATGGCCTTTCGATTTCTCCAATTTCAGCTGTTGGTTAAGCCTTGAAGGAAACCTCATTTGGGCATTTCTTACCCCTGTTGTGGTGATAGTATTGGTAAGCAGTAAGACGTATTCAGCTCAAGTTACCCGAGAGTGTATTTAAAAGTACATTTGCGAACAACTTCCCTCTAAGGAGATCCTTACTCGAATTTCCCATCTTCTATTGCCCTCTCAGTCAAACCGCGTTTTCGATCAAAAAGAGTTATCCGTTGATAAAATTTAACTAACAATTGCGTTTGGCAAGTACATACAATAGACAAGATTGCTGTTAATAAGTACTTATTCCTCTTTCTCTTTTAATGATTCAGGAAATTATGACAGGTTAATTCATGTAGACGGAGTCAAAAATAATTCTTGATGAAAGTTGGAAAACATATTAATCAATTTATTCGAACCTCCTTGTTCTAGATAAATGCTATCGTTTTGGTTACTATAACGGCTGTTCGAATCTCCCTCAAAGACAATCCACTGACACCTCATGAAAATAAAAAATTCACGTAAGTAAAATAAACAGATATATGTTTACGCCTACAACGATTATGGGTAGCTACGAATCTATTTACACTTGAAACTTTACGTTAACCACATTTCATCTACAGTTAGTCGTTTTAGTGTGACCACATACTACAACCTGTATAGTCAACGTAAATCAAGGTTCTCATCTTATACGTGCCATTGAATCGAGTTTAAAGTTATTTTTCGCTCAATGATGTTTTTTTGCTCTTTATTTTTAGTGCCGCCCTTAGAACGGTCGTAGTATTGTTTCCTCTGCTTGGTTTAAGCTGGTTCTTTGGTCTGATGGGTGTTTTGACCAATAGCCGGCCGTTTCTTTACACTTTTGTAGTGCTCTCTTCTCTTCAGGTCAGTGGTTTATTTTGTATTTATTTCCTATTTCAACGCATCAGAACTTTCTTTTTCTTACTTTTCACAGATACTCCGAGCTGGAAAATATTGATTTTGTTCATATTCATACATTTACGTCTTGCAATGCAATCTTTCGTTATTTAATTGAAAATGCAAATTGTTCGAAAAAAAACAGTAGATCATTCGCGCGTTAGTTAACAAGAAAACGTTAATACAAACTAATTAAGACAATTTGCTCCAAACGGGGTATGGGTTAAACAATACTCACATCAAAATAAACAAAAGTTTTTGATAAAAAAGACCAGCTAGAGCAATAGCATAGGTATCAGACTTGTTTAATATCTTATTTATCCAACCACCTTAATTCGTGGGAACTACATGTACATATCAGATTTTGATTTTTTAAATTAAAGTCTTGATGTTCTAAAAACAGGGCTTCTTCATTTTGCTATTTCACTGCATCGGAAACAGGGAGGTAAGGATGTATTTTTTTTTCAAAAGATTTATTCGAAGTTGAATATTACGACATGGTGAGATGTCAATCATTGTGTCGTTGCACCAAACCCAGTGACACCCATTAACACACTTATGAAAGGGGTGGTGTATCACTTGACCTCGAAAGACGTGACTTATTAGATGCGTGGTTACAGGGTGACTAGAGTACTAATGGCTCTTTCTTAACCAGAAGAATACATAATTTCTGTCAATGAGAAAGCAATTTGATTTGCCCAAAAATGTCAGTAAAACAGTAGTGGTAAACTCCTTCGACTGAACGGTGAATTTTCAGTCAAAGGAGTTCAGTAAAAAGTAAAGCCCATTCACTATGGGCTTTACCTTTTATAACATTTGTTAGATGGGTGTCGGTAAACCAACCTCTTCTTTCTTGAGATGTTCTTGGAAATGATATGGAGACTAAGTAAGATTTCTGCTATTTTCCTTTTTTTTTAAACGTCTTCAAGAGCTCACAAGGTTTATAATTCTCTTGTGCAAATATACTTCACCAAGAAAGAGATTACGAAGCTATCGTTTATCAATTCTAGGTGCGCAGTTCGATAAAAGCAATCAAAGACCGTCATTCGTTGGAGTCAAGTATTCGACATGAACAAGTGAGTAATTTTTGGAGATAATTTTTTTTTCTCTCAGTTTTTAGAGGTTATTGTTTTATGATATAAATTCTAGACCTTTTCTCATAGCAATTTCATCGTTATATTCCTTATAGAAATTCCGGAAAGGAAAGGCAAACAGCAAAAGCTCAAATGGAGTCAATTGTGGAGAGAAAAAAATAATGCTAACAAAAGTCTCGGGACTAAAGAGAAGCGAAGAACAAGTCAAAAAGGCAACAAACGTATGATAAAAAAGCAAAGAAAAATTTTTTTGACCCTTACTTGATGTACAAAAACACCGGGAGCAGCCAAGGTCAGATTGGAGTGAATCCCCGTGGCTACCTCAGTAGCAGCGATTAACTGGCCAGGAAGCAATCTCGAGGAGCGTCTAAATATAGTTAAGATGTTCAAAATACTCCGATTCTTAAACTAGCCGACATCTGGGAGTATTGTTGTGATGTTTACCATTCGATGTCTAGTTGTGGTCGTCTACTTTTCGCTTCATTTATTAGGCGTTAGCCTCTGTAAATTTTAAGCATTTTTTAAAAATTTCGCAAAACGCCATCCAGCGCTAAATAGGTATCCACATCATTTCAAAATTTTGATTTTAGAGGGACTTTATGTTTAAATAGTTGCACACAAGCGAACTCTGCGTAGGACGTTAGCATCTGTCATGTAACAAAAAATTACTAGTAGCCGGTTACTTCCTTCCGATGGGAGTGTTTCAGACACCAGAGGCAACCGAAAATGCATCGGGGAAAGTAGCATCGCGTTGAAAATTAGTCAGGGACATATGCCTTGCTTTCACTTCCACCGGTTTGTTAAGAACGTTCTAAATTCAATACTGTTTGGATGACCATGAACATGTTTTTACTGAAGATAACGCCGTGGGAATTCACTAAGAGCCAGAATAAGAACCCAGTCCACTGACGTATTAACGCATTAACAGCATTAACGATAACGCTCAAGAAACTAAACTAAGATAATTTTAGAAGGATTAGGTGTCAGAATTTTAATTATGTGACTGAGATATGCCTATATTACGTTTAGCCGATATCCTTATTGTGAATTCTTTTTAGCTTTACTTCCATCCTCACATACAGTTTGTCGGAAGCATTATCATCATGTTCTTCATTTCTTGTTCTGATATATATTCTGACAATCCAAACTGATCATAAACTGCTCTGACGTTTGAGGACGTTGCTTTACACCGAGCTGAAATCACAATAAAGCAGAAAAATTTCACCAAAAAACATCTTTGTTTTCATCTGAGATCTTGGACTTGGCAAGCCCTACGGGAAAAATAGATTGGTGAAGACTTCCTCAAAATAGTTAATCCAGGCAATTTGAAGTAGGCTTTCATTTTCCACAAAATTGGGTCCTAGCCGAAAATCCAAAAGAAATTAAGTTTCATTAAAAGCTGCCAGTAAAGGAACAGCCTCTTCCTGTAAAATTGATAAACTGATCGTTGAACAGAATTTTCAAATTCCGCAGGGGTTGATCAAAAATAAGTCAAGCACATAATTTCTAATGAAATCGAAGCTCCCATCGTATTGAATCGTGTCATATGAAAGTTATTTACGGCGCATTGGGAGGAGATAAAAGAGCAACTTAAAAGCGACGAAATTATGGTCACTCGGAGAGTATAATCTTAGTAAGACAAAACAGTTGCGAGGATGCTTTTTAGTATCTTGTTATCTTGCAACAGTCAACCAATTAGAAAACTGAAGCGTTTTCATAAAAATCGCGCTGCATAGCCTGAGAGAAAGTTCAGTAGTGATCTTCAGCTATCGGTTCTATATTCAACAGCACTGGGTAATCCCTAACTGGCATAAGCTGCATTTGGCTTAAATAATTATGCACTAACTGTTATCAAATTTACTACATGATTTTAATCTTTTCTTGTATATTTTGTTTGTTTGTTTTTTTTTTACGAATCTTGACTTAGTGGTACTTCTTGTTGTTACGCAGGGCCCTGTTTAGTTGTCATATATGTCACTAAGTAATATTGCTTCCATACTTTGGCTCGACAGTTTGCTTTAAGGTTGTAAATGTTCAAATGCTTGGCAACCAAACATGTTATGTTTGCACTCAGGCAAATTAACATTTGTCTTCTTTTCTGAAACAATTCATCTAACCTATTATTATTATTATTATTATATTAATTAACGACTATATGAGAAGTTGCCCAAAGGCTAAATAAACTCATCACGAACATGCAGTTCCAGTATGGTTTCTGATGGCTCATAAGAGAGTCTTTCACCAATTAGAAGTCCCATTTTTCTTATGTTTTTTATTATCAAATAATTTTTTACGTTACCTGCTGCCGGTTTGTAAAGGATACCTCATTGCGAGATACTGACTGCTGCTAGAAAATTATGATATTTCATAATATCGCAGCGTACTTCTCACTTTGTTTGCACGATAATTTTCTTCCTATACTTCCTTGTTAACAATCAACTGCTTCAAGAGATTTCAAATGAGTTAAAAAAAAAGTGCGAGAGACGATGAAGGAACAACGAGATGGCGGCCATATTGAAAGTGCCGAAAGTACCAATCTGCAAACCTCCCGTGTACGAAGTGGACACTGAGCATGGCGGGTTCAATCACCAAACCGAAATCAAGATTTCTGCCATCGAGAACAAGCTCAAAGGCTAATCTACAGACATCGAAAGTCTGTATTCTTCAATCGATCTCGCCTTGGAATACAGCTCTTCCTTCAATTTCAAGCTTGTAGGCATCCTCGAAACGAAACCGAAAAAAGGTGCCGCAGAAACCTCAGAGCCCTAAGGTTAACATAGCACATCGAGTCAAGCCTCACAACGCCTCTGGCGGTCAATCAAAGCCGATTATGTGCAAATTCACGAGACGTCTTGCCCGGGAGCGGGTGATAGTATTAAGAAAGGAGGTGAACAAAATCAGTCCTACCAGAGCCGAACTTTAAGAGAACATGGAACGTGCAGCAGTTTAGGATCACTTCAGTCCACATCTTCAGGACCTGATGTCACGCGCAAGATTCAAGGAAAGGTTCCATTTTGCATTTTGTTGGGCAAAAAAATCGGCCGTATGGATGAGGAAAAGTGATCATTCTCGACCAATCGCAGTGCCAGTGACTTGGACAATCTGGAAGCTCGCTACAAATCACCAGGTGAAGAACGTATTAGCTAAGAAGTAACGCGCAAGGTAAAATAAACAAAATCCTTTTACGCGAACTAACCTACTATTCTTGCAATTCAATTTATCCCATGACCAATTCAATAATATTCTAGATACTTCCCTTCTTGCTAAAAAATACCTCGATCGTTACCTAGCTATTACGACCTAAATATCTTTAGCTTGAGTACTTTTGTTGATAAAAAATCCCACCCTAACGATCATTCTACAAATGTGACGAGTAAATACTATTCTGAGCTAAGAAATTAGCTCCAAAACGTATCTTCTCCAAACAGAGGTTTATCTTTATTCCGCACAAATATCCGCAGTCTTGGACGTAATACGGACAACTTTCAAACACATCTACTGATCTACTGGACGAATTAAATTTTCAATTCGACGTTATAGGTATTACGGAAACTAGACTAACTAGACAGCTTGAAAATTTGGACTTCAACCCGTCAATACCGAACAACAATTTCGAATATGTACCAACACCTCTGGAGGAGTTGGTGGGTACATCAACGAAAAAAGTTTAATATACAGTCATTGATAAAAGTTATAGTGAAGCTTTTCAGGCACTTTTTGTTGAACTACACTTTCCAAAAATGCAAATATAATTTGCAGAGTGGTATATAGATGGCATAGCTCTCCGGAACGATTTCAGGAATATTTTGATATCTTGCTTAAAAAACTCATCGCAACTAGGAAACAAGATTTTTATAATGGGAGATTTCAACTTGAATCTCCTTCGTTTCCAATCCTGTAAGTGCGCCCAAGACTTCAATTTTTCTTTACAAAGCTTTGACATGACCCCGTCCATTGACAAACCCACGAGAGAACATAACAATTCCTACTCACTAATCGATAATATATTCACTAACAACCTCGAAAGTATTCTTTTAAGCGATAACATTATCTCGCATTTAATCGATCACTTTTCGCAATTTTGCATTCTTGACTTTTCTAGTAAACTGTTTGATGCGCAGAGACCTAAACAATTAGTTCGTGACTTGCCCAATTCTTTCAGTGTAGAGCCCACCTTTCTAAGCGGCTGTCACAAATTGACCTGATCAGTGCTGTCGGCAATAAAGTGGATGTCAGCAAATCATTTACTGTATTTCACAATAAAATCAATAAACTCCTCAAGGAGCACGCATCTTTGAAACCACTTTCAAAGCGCAGTCTAAAGAGAGCTAAAAAAATCCTGGATAACAAAAAGTATTAGAAGATCAATCATGATAAAGAATGCTCTATCTTACTCTGGGGACACCACTGCCTACAAACTCTATCGAAACAAAATATTAATGCTAACGAGAATTATTAGAATAATAATTAAAAGACCTATCAAGAAAACATGGTGGGCATAAATAGGCTCTTAGACCGGAAAACAAGAGGTCCTTAAGGACAAGACCTCTCTCAAATGTCCGACAAGCAACAAAGTTTCTTTCAACTCCTCTGAATTTCCAGACATAACGAATAAATATTTCTCTTCCATTGGGCACGATCTGGCATCCAAAATGCCAAAACCCACCCAAAAAATTTCACGAATATTTACGAAAGATAGGTGTGGCTGGTTCCTTCTTTTTTCATTCAATGTCTCATATTGAAATAGAAACTGACATCCTGAATATTCAACTAAATAAAGCACATCAAAATCTGAAGACGCTTGAATCGATCGTTAATGACAAGTTTTCAAATGTTTATAATTGGCTGATAGCCAACAAATTATCTTTAAACACCAAGAAAACCAACTATGTTATTTTTCGACCCAGACGAAAAATTAAAAATATCAAGTAAATTTGAGGGTATTTGACCATCACGCCGACACTTTTATTCCCCTAGAGTGCAAGAACTATGTCAAATACCTAGGCGTGTTTATTGATGAGAGTCTTTCCTGGAAACACCATATTCCTCATATCGCCTCTAGTATAATTGTCCCAGTTGGTATTATTTCTAGGTTAAGACATTTTGTTACCTTCAGTACCTTACGTCACATATACAAATCACTCATTCAGCCTTATCCGTTGTACGGTTTAGTTGCGTGGGTCAAGCTGACAAGACCCATAGAAACAGATTTTTACTCCTTCAAAAACGTGCCCTGCGACTTATGTTCTTTGTGAATTTAATGCTCATGCTGTACTTTTCTTTGTTTCTTCTAATCTACTCCCCTTAGATTTTCTTTCCTTCAAATCATCAGCTGTGCTAATGCATCATGTATTTAATGACCTAACGCCACTTCACATAACCAACATGTTTAATTATCAAGCCAATATCCATTCCTATAAAACAAGATCGTCAACAAGAGGTAATATTTTCGTTAAATATTCAAGGCTGAACCCGCATTTAAATCTTTTTCTAGATATAGCGTGCGGATTTGGAACAGCTTAATTAATGAATTGCGTAATTTATCGAAACAGAAACTTAAAGTTAAACTTCATAACGTCTTATTTCAAATATCGACCGAAGCAAACGATGACATCGAGTCAACTGATCTGGTATCGAAAATTTCTTAGAAACGGCTGAGCTTCATTATATTTGCATTTGCATATATTCCTTTTTTCCCCGTTCTAGTTATCTATCATAATATTATAGCTATTTAACTTAGTAACTTATTCATTTAATGTAGCTTGGTTTTTTATTTGTTTCTTTCTTTTATAGAAACTGCTTTTTCCATTTCAGTGTTGTAATTTCTTGTGTTAGTACTCTGATCATCATAATTATCACGTATATATTTATTTATTTTCTGTTATTTGTTACTGTAAAATTTTTATTGACCTGCGTGAAACTAACGCTCGCCTCGACTCGCTGTTGTTATGTGCGAGCAGTAGATGTCAAGTTGTAAATAGATTGAATTTAACACTAAATACCCGCTTTAAACAGAAATTAGCTATTGTTGTATTTGAGAGGACAAGCAACATAACTATGGCATAGCATTTTCCAGCGAGAACGTTTTCAGCTAAAACTTGATTGGCATTTCGAGTGAGTCATTTTATATGAAGATTCCTTGAGAAGTTCGTTTTGTTAATATTCCGTCAGAATCCCAAAAATCGTAATAAACGCAACATTAATACATCATTCCCACAACCACTCACTTCAGTGCAGCAGGTGGCATGACTTGGCAAGTTCAACATTTTAATCACAGAAACGAGACCAAATGACGGCGTAATTGCTTTCCCATAAACAATGACTAGCTGACATCCCGCCCTTGTCTAGCTACGAAGATATCATCTATACCACCTCTTAAGTAAACTACACCTAAAACTTCTGTCAGCCTCTAAGAAATTTGATATGACAACATGACTCCATCTTTCGCATCTGCCTTTCTTTTCGTCTTTGTGGAGGTAAGAAGCACAATATTTTAATTTCCATCTCTGCTCATACGTGCCTTTTTCAATTCGATTTCAAAGTTTAAGCCACATCTCCATTTTTGCATTGTATTTCGCCGTTTTTATTGGCTTATTTTATTTCTCTGGTTTTCAGACGATTTTGTTCGGGAGTATGACAAATGCCTGCCCTTTTTCCAATGGTAAGGTTACAAGAAATAATATAGATATTCTTTCTAATACAAGTCATTGCATCAATGCTATTTCTTCTTTCCGAAGAAAACATCATAATTTATTCACTGACAAAACAAACATTCTCATCAAACACGCAATGGGCAAATTTGGAATATTTTTCGGTAAGAGCTCTTTGCCACACCATTTTCATTATTTCTACACATTTTATCACCACGCATTTTTAATCAAATTGCTGAGGCTAGATGGAGATCATATTGTTGGAATACTTGTCACTAAAATCTTGGGAATCTGATAACGCCTACAGAAATCGCTTGAAGGTCTCTATGTCATTGATTATCATGAAACATCTGTGTTGATTCATAGCTGCTTCGTTTTGTAATAAATAAAATGAACTCTTTAAATCGTAACCTGACGTTCTTGCAGTTTTTATACAATAAATCGTATATTTTGGTGCTGGGGCTACGTGCTAATGAATTTGAGCTTATTCTCTGTTAATTTTTAAGGGAAAAAAATAAATATATCGAGGTGCCAACTACCGTCGATCTCCAAAAGAAAGTTCATTTGCTTTTGTTTGCTCTAGCTTCAATTACATGTTTGATAAACAACAGTTTCGCAACATTCATTGTTCGAAAACAAAAATGATTTTAATTATCTTGTCCCTCAGCAAGTCGCTTTGATTAGGGGCGCCGCTTCCAAAACTTTCTTTATTACCATATCGCGCCTATAATTAACCAACTTTCGCACTACATCAACATCGACTTGTTTGGTAAGATGGGGGATAATAGCCAGCCAGTGCCATTAAAATTGTGTTTCGATTGGAATGTTTGAAGTTTTGGTGCAGCACATTCTTCAAATCCAGCACCTTCAGTAAAGAAACTACACCAACCAGAAATTACTGTAGAATAATATCGTGCAAAGCATCTAGAGGCTGCAAAGTATTGTCAGCGGGCTAAAAGTTCTTTCTTGTTTGTTTAATTCACTACGAAGTTCGTCTTCACAAAACGAGCATAAGACGGTGTGTAAAAATAAATAAATTTCATGTATTTTTTTTAAGCGTTCCTCCAAAGCTTTTTGAGTTTTAACTGCTTAACATAATTTCTTAATTTCTTGGTTGATCAAATATTTTTTTCCTCCATTTTTCGGCGTATTAACCCCAAAGAAAATGAGACTTACCGATTTTTAGGAACAAAGAACATTTTTATTTCTCTAATGCTTAGGGAAACGCAACTCATTCAAAATTTCGCACAAAGGGGGCATTACAGTGCAGAAACAGCGGAAACTTCGAAGACAGCAGGGCCATTTATGCATGTAATGTTGTGAGCAGACAGGTTCTCTTCTCGACCGCTAAGAAAACGTATAGACAAAGAAACAGAAAAAAACAACGATTCTGAACAAGGGAAGCAATTGGGATCATAAAACCCCAGGCCAACCGTTTGTTGTCTTGAAACTGGTACTCCTAAAATGATAGATAATGTTGATCCGGTTTCACTTAACAGCTGGTTTCAAGAATTGCCAACGATGAAAATTAGACTGGAAGTTAGACCTGGCAGGGCATTTTATCTTTTCAGCTTAGTTTAAAACTGTTTGCGGTGGCCAATTCATACACCATCAACTCAGTTGCTAAAAGCAAATTATCTTGTAATTCTCCCTAACGACATATCGCTACGATTTCTTTAGAAACTAACCCCTTTATTCCATTCGACAGGTGACCTAACCTACAAGTCAGTGTTGGAGTGTTTGTCGATCGATACAGGAAACGAAACAAGACCGCCGTCCATCACAGTGACCTCATGTGATGACGGCAGTCGTATACTCACACACCTTGGCTGCTTATCAAGCCACAATTTTCATTTTAATGATTCACTTTGGAATTACCAAGTTGCTCGCTTCAAGTTTGACGGCAATATTGTCATAACAAATCTTGTTCACTTAAGAGGGACGAACGCCCTATCGTTGACCGGAGAAAATATTACTATAGATTTGAACGGAGTTTTGAAAGTTGACGTAAACACCGTGCCTTCGTCTCACAAAGAAACAAGATTGGTTGGAGGTTTTGTCTCTGCGATTGGTGTAAATGGTTCGTGCAGAAATATACATTTGTTTTTCAGTGTTGGAGAAGTATGAAAATCTGATAGGCTTCATTAGAACTTTCTTCTCTTAGCGCTGATCATGTCCCTACGTCCACATATTTTCTTCTATTTCGTTTATAGCGACGACAATTTCAGCCTTTCAATACTTTTTTTTGTAACTTATGTTTTTTGGTTGGTTTGTTTGTTGTTGTTGTTTTTTTAAGCGAAAGAAAGCTGAATAGCATTAAAATCGTTATCAAGCTGAGATGAAAGATATACTAGCTTATCTATGTTTACGACTATTATTGCCTATATCTATGGTTATCTATTGTTTACTTCTAAGTAGTAATATTCAAGATGTATCATTCAATATTAGAAAAAAAATGGTGTGCAACAAAATAATACAATAAGTTTTCTTTTCTCCTTACACATAGATGAAAAAGATGCTCTAAACTTGTACTAAAAAACCTGATAAAGAACTTTTTAAGCTCGACATTTCGATTATGAGGCAGAACAACTTTCTATCGGAACCGCATCAGCTTGTTTCCAAAGGTCAAGGAATTTCTATTCTGTAAGTTTTATGAACAGAGCCCCCCAAAACTTTCATTCCTGAAGGAAAAGAGGGATTAAAATAGTTATACGGTTTGGAGCCGGTTAGGTTGAACACTGCTCACTTTGCGTGTGTCGTAATGGCTCGTTATGCAGGTAATCCTTATGGTGGACCGGGACGGGGATTTTACTACAAGAAAGAAGCTGGAGGGGCTGGTCACGGTGGTCACGGGGAAGGAAAGAGAAAGTACTCGTACAGCAAACCATATGGTCTTAAAAATGTCGACCACTATTTGGGAGGAAGCACAGGTATAGTGAATAGTTACGTTAAAGCCTGGGCATAATAACAAAGCTCAGACATCTGATAGTGCTCCTAAAGATTGACATTTATCGTGATCACTTCAAACTTGTAGAGTTAGAAAAAGTGAACGACGTACAAGATATTAACAGATTACTGGCTAAAATGATGGTACACTCGACTGTTAACAACTCTTCGCTTCACTCTGATGATGACTTCCGCTCCGGCAACAGTCCTTCTCAGGACTACACTCACCCAGAGAATCATAGGCTTAAATTATAGCTCCATTTGCCTGTCGAAGAACAAGCTCAAAAAAATGTTGAAGATGTGGTAAAGAATTCATTCCATCATTCACGCCTTTCAAGGAGAATCTTATTATTTCGCTCGGCTGTTACCTTACTATAGCGAAAAACCTCCTGCGTAATATGTAACAAGAGCAACTAATGCAAATACTACCAGTTAACGCTCCGATACATTTATCTTGTAACTTCACTGACGTTATCATTCATTGGTTGGTTTGTTAATTATTTCATTTATCTATTTTTTTAGGAGCGTTTACGGGTTCAAATACGCCAGGGTTTGGAGGACCAGCAATTGAACTGAATGCTACAGGAAAGATAAATATCAGTAAGTACAATCTGATCTTAAGAATTCTCCATAAACAGACGTTGCCCATACGACGCAAGATGTAACCTTTCTGTATCATCAGGGCGAAATCAATCCTTGACTGAGTCATATTCTTGGTGCCGTCATCCGGGCCACTCGATATTCATTGCGGCCCAGCAATCTTTACCCTGACATCATGATAGTATCCTTTTTCCAGCCCTGAAAACCGTAATATCTTCGTAAGTGCAGTGTTTACGGCCCGACATTTTGGACCAAGTTACATATGCAACGGGAGGTCGTTTTCAGGCCTATTCGACGCCTGCTCAGTTGATTATATGAAGGAAATAACTGCTTCTTCATCTTCATTTTAACTATCTGGTATTTGCCCCCCTCTACAATCCTCAGGTATCACAATCAAAGTTTCATCATTTTTTCAGCGTTAGTTGTCAACTTAACCTTATCCTGACCGACCCTCAGTCCACATTCTTCGATTGTCCCTCTATAACTATCATTGCAACATGTCTACCACAACTTCCCGATGTCCAAACAGGACTCTCCGTCATTAAGTCTAGTTTACACAAAGTATGCAAGCATGAGCATTAGAGCATGAGAGCGTTTACACATGCAATAGGCATACACTCAAGCATAAGATGAGACATGCTTTATGGCACGATTACCCTTAATTTGAACAATTTCAATTCCATTTCCCGACTTAAGTTGAAAACACAAAATTTTCATCCTGCAAATGGCTTTGAAGCTGGCAAAAGTAGCTGAATAAAAGAAGAGAAAACACATATTTAATGATAAATTGTGACGATTTATAAAAATAGCAGAGATTTGCGACGGAAAATTTGAAGAGCTATTAATTTAGTCTGATGAAAGGTTTTGCTGCAAGTATACTTAATGCTACAAAACCTTAACAAAATTATTAGTGAAAAATTTTTAAGTTTTCTGAATATCTGTCACTAGCTTGGGAAAAAAGAAAATCTGAGCCAGCATGTGAGGTTAGGGCTGGGGATCGAACAGAAATTTTGCGGTAGGATTTCCTATCACCAGAACAAAAGAGAATTTGGAGTCGTTCTCTGAAGAAAAAGTGCGCTACTGTTTCATGGCGAGGTGGTCTTCAAATCACGATAGCTCATCTCATTACAACAAGGCAACTACAACATGTACAGTTCCATGTTTCATTCATAAAATGTTTTTTTTTTAATACAAGTCTTACTTCTCGCCAGGAGGAGCAATAGAAGCGAGTGCCATATCCAATCCAGTTTTATCAGGCATTTCCAGCAACGAGAAGATAGGAGGAAATTCTGGTGGCCTAGTCAGACTAATAGCTGAAACGGTAAGTAGAAATGGAAGGGGGGGGGGCACTAACTGCCAATTTAAATCGATACGTCAGTATAGGGCTATTCAGTAAAAAAGCAGCTTAACTAGACTTAGCTAATCAGGAAAATATCAACTGTTGACGCAGAAATGTAACGGTCAATTTTGTTTTATCCGTAGGTTCATATTTCGCATGAAGCAAGGATATATGTCAACGGCAGTAAGGGGATTTGCAGTGGCAAAAATTGTAAGGCTGGTGGTGGAAGTGGCGGGATAGTGCAAATCATATCCTCTTGTGGTTCTATCGCTCCTAATGCCATTTTTTTAAGTGGAGGTAGCCAAGCAGAGGATGGTTTCCTTTACATCAAGGGTGAGTAAATATCGTATAAATGTTAACGATAGGATGAAATCAAGCCAACGCTTGAAAATGCAACGAAAATCATATTAAGCAACCTTCGTCTACGATGCCTGCTCGTGAGTAATGCTATGCTTGATTAATTAAATTCGCCCCAATGAGGAGTCTCTGGTTTATTTCAGCTCACAGGTTGGTAACTAGAAAAATGGAATAAGTTTTTTGCTCCTCATTAAGCGTGATTACCAGGGCAGCATCTCGTCGACCAGCTGCTGGTCAAATCTTCAATTCTGAGTGCTATTTTAAATGATTCAAAGCCATATGAAATAGCACTAAATCAAAAGGATCATTCTGATGACTCTTAACTTCAGGTATCAGCGAAGGTAATTTTCAAACATTTCCTGATGATCCGTATTCCTGGGGACAAAAGAGTTCATCAACAAGAACTCTAACTTCGGGTGCGCGAATAACAATTCCTGCCAGTACATCTCCGAGACACTCGTCATCTGAAATAACAACAGTTAACAGTGCTATTTCGACAGCGACATTCCATACAACATCAAAGGTTTTTACGTCAAGTGAATTAGATACGACCACAAGCTATGCACAGGACATCTCAACGAGAACATCACACCAAACTTCCCCAGTCCGTATAGCAAGCAGTTCGTCGCTTCAGCCTCCACATCCCACAGAGTCGACCATTAGTGGTTAGTAGATTACTGCACTATTAGCAATGACTCACACTTAAGTTTCAAGGGTTAAAATTATCATTAGCTCGTTATTTTGCTACTCCCCTAAGCCCCGTTATACAAGTTACCCCTCTTTCAAACTGGTTTGATCTGTAATTCTTCTTAGGGCTAACTTCATAATTTTGCTTGGTTAAGTAGTATAGTATCCAAAACTGAACTAATTAAACAAAACTTGAAATGTTGCTTTTGCATGCTATAACGTAACGCGCCATTTCCCATTCTACTGGATCCAATAAACATATCGGTGAGGTAAGTTACTGTTAAGCAACTCCGTATTCGTGACTTATTTAGGTTTGAAATACGTTCCTGTATGTTTAACTGCTTCAGTGCCGCCTTTTAAAAAAGGAACCGTTGAGGATTTGCAAAATCTTCTTGAAAAAGTAAAGACATACAAGGTGAGGTTGAAGGGCTCATTTTCTGTTCGTTTAAAGCGATCGTCATTTTACCTATCTCTATTCCTTTCCCAAGACTACCGCCGTAGAATTCCAAATCATCAAACTTGGAGATAGAATACAATACCTTATTGGAAATATAATAATCCCTTATGAAGGTGCAGAGTACTTTTAACTGAATGATTTTATATGTGTTTGATTTATTCAGATTATAACAAGTTTTTGATCACTTTTCCATCCAACTGTCATGGTAGAAATGTAAATATATGAAAAACATATACGTGAACTGCGGAGTAATAATGAATATGAATGCATCTACGCAGTGATGAACAGAAGAATTCAGGCTTGTACTGGATTTAAACCCAAGACCTCTGCGATACTGGCGCAACGCTCAACCAACTGGGCTATCAAGCCTTATTTTCCAGACCTGGTTTTCACTATTGCTTAAGTAGTGATCATGACTGCGAAGATCGCTCTCATATTTATTAATTAATTCGTAGTTCACATACATGATTTTCACGCATTTTCAGTCATTTATTCATCACTTCCACATGACATCCCAGTTGGTAGGGCGCTGTACCGGTTTCGCAGAGTTCATGGGTTCGAATCCCGTACAGAACTAAATTTTTTTGGTGTCTTATTTTCACCACTATTTAAGTAGCGTTCATTAATGCGAAAATCGTTTTCATATTCGGTCATAGGAGACTTGAAAAAAGAGACTCCGTCGTGTCAAAAAAATTGTTTCAGCCACAAAATTTAATATCTAGACGGTCAGAATTCTACTCTAATAACTATGAATTTACCTCGAAGTCTATTTTTATGCTTGTTCATTACTTTTCAATTCATTTTAAGGAGAATAAAGTCAACACCTCCAATCCAGTGGAAGCTATAACTCAGTTTCTGGAATCGTTCAGAACTTTTACGGTGGTTGGGAACTTAACAACGTACATTATAAACATCAGCATATCCCTGATTGTTGAATTAAATGAACTGATGTTGTCGGACCGTCACCATAAATTACAGGTAAACTAAGTATGAATAAAGCTCTTTGCATATATCTTACGGAGGAAAACAAGAAATAGATCGATATAAGACTGAAATAGACAGGAATTCAATCTTGGATGTACTCAAGAGTCTACTTAAGAGTCTAGGCAATCAATCTCAACGCAACCTCAAAGGAAATTGTTCGAGACAAATTATCAACCGCTCTACTGATTTGTTTCAATAGAATATCCAGCCTACACAAAAATGAAACCTTGTAAAGCTAAAATGATTCAACAAAGTGTTGTACAATAGCCTGCTATGTAAAAGCGAGGTTTCATCTCTATATGATTA